ACCGTGACAGACAGGCTTGAGACCCATCACAGACTGTGAGAGAGAAACTGTAGTTCTAACACGTTAGATGAACGGTTAGCTACAAATGTATCGCAAAGAAATGGAACAAAACGGTTTCCATTTAACTAGTAGCAATGGATCGATCGTGTTTCACATTTTTAATTTCGCAAGGGATTGCGCTAACAGCTTTTTATATTAGAGTGTTTGACTCTTTTGTTTCTAGGAACTACGAGTGTTCAACTCATGTTCATAAGCGCTAATATAAGTGGGGGCACTTTTCCTCCCTTTCGCATGCAAGGAAAGTTACAGTTGCTAGTCAGTTACGTTGCCCGATAACTAATAATGGAAAGTTTTCGAGTTCATTGAGCGTGTTACGATCGGATTGTTCCCATCCAATCGTAAGGCAGAGAGAAGATACCCTTTCTAGTACAGTGCTTAATATGACTGCCCGGTAATCAGGCGATGCATGGTTCGATTTCGTGCGAAGGGCGATTGTCTTTTTCTGTTCTGTTGTCATACCATCACGCTGCTGTGTCGCTGATAACAACTCATAACAGAGGGCAAAGTAATTTTCTAAAAATAACGATATCGTATAGTCTGACCAAAGGTGATCGGGATCGAGGTTAGATTTTAATAAACTTTAAAAATTGTTTAGAATGAGTTAAAAAACTTGATTATATTATTTTCTGCAGAATAAATATATTCTCTTCACAATATCGAAACGAACGGGTAAGATTTTTTTTCTCTGAAAATTCTAATTCTCTAAACGAACACAATCATTAGCATTATGTCTAAGAATATACATGAACTTATTCGTTTTATATGACAATAACATATTAACATATACAAGGATTTATATAGATTATGTTCCAACACGATCGAACTTTCGTTGTTTGTAACATTTAAAAAATATAGACGAAAAAAAAAACTCTAGAGAATTGATCAATATTCAACATAAATGATATAATCTTAAATAAACTGATCTATGATCTCAATGAAATTTCATGAGTTTATTCGAAAAATAACATTAATTATCAGGAATTTAAAACCTACCTATAATACTATTGATTTTCTATGAAATATTTTGAAAATTTTCATTTCATCTTCGTAAGTATAGTTCAACTTTTAGTTAACATTAAAATAATTCTAATATTTAAATAGACTAAATAAATAAATATATATATATAGTATAAGTAATAATCTGTGAAGGAGAATTAAGCGTCACACAGTGCCACTGATTAATAATTGATCAATTGGAATCATAATATAAATTTTTCACCACAAGAAAAAACACAAAAAAAGAGGAAGCGCTCAACAACTAAAAAAAATTTAAACGAACCGATACATAAGCTGATCACTCATCGCTTTTTAATACCGTATTCTTAAGCATCCTCATAGATTTTCTATTACTGTTCAGAATTAATGCAACGTACAGCAGTTTAACTACATCTAGTAATTCATATGATAGCACAATTTCAAAAAGAAACTATTCCTTATTTTTCCTTCACCAAACTTCGAGTGATGATCATAACACAATCAACAAAAAGATCGTTAACATTAGGTTCGAAACTCAATATTCCACCCCAAACAACTCTTTTTTGTCCCATGACCCTTCCCTCCCCCCCTTCTCCACTTGAAAATATCACCATTCGATTGAGAATTTAATTCTACATCCAGCCCAAGTATTTTTAGACTCAACACAAGTCAATAAGCGAATATCAGCAAGGAATACTCGAATCCGCTGCTAACTTTCTTCACGTTAAAAATTATTTGTATAGAAGTAAGAAGAATATTTATCAAATTAAATATTCATTTTTCTTGTAATGTGACTGGTGAGTTTTGAATTTAATTGAGATTGGAATATTGTGTTTTTTAATTCTGTAACAAAGGATATCGTGTATGTATAAACAAAATAAATACTTGTTTATTGTCAATATGGTTGAATTGTATTTTGAAGTTTACATAAAAATAGAGATGCGTTTAGATTGTTGTTCGATATATAAATAATAATAAATTGACTACATTTATTTTACTCAATAGAGCATAAATTTAGGCAATATTTTTTTAATTCTTAGGACATTGAATAGTTAGTGGAACTTTTTACAAAAAAAATGTTGTTTTCTTTTCTAAAGTATTTAGCAACACGGACAGGAGGTTACTGTGGTTGATTTATTAAAAACACGAGTATATTGCACCAGATGTATGTCCTACAATTATGATATTAGAGCATGATAAAAGGTTCTAAGCACGTATGATATTGAAAATGGAATTTACTGTCTAAATAGTACTGACACCAAAACTCAACTTTCTAGGAAAATATTCTATGACTTAAAGCAACTTATCATATGAATCAGAACATAATTCAACAGAGATGATTCAAAAAACTGCTAGCCACCGACCAAATCGAAAACAAAACAATTACTAAAGAGTTATTTTAGATGTGATACGAAAAATTCTAGAATAGTTCTTTCTGAGCAAGGACCAAAATGTTTGTTCACGTACATCTCTATATATGACCCATCATAGTCCTTGGTAAATTTCGGATAGGTTTTTTTTAAAAGACACTAATTACTTTTTTTATTTTTGTTGCTTTTACTGTTTATATTAATATAATGATAACGGAAACGAAATAAATGACTAACTTTATCACATAAAGAAGCGACCAAACTCGACTTAAACTGTAGAAGATGGATAAAGTTCATACCCACACTTTGTGATTTAATTGTGAATTAGAGAATCTGTTTTTTTCCTCAATTCAGCATAAAATTGCATAGTGTAAACATGACTCTAGAACCTTAAAAGTAGTTCCAACAAAAAGAACACGCTTGATTTCTATTTTTAATTAACAGCAAAATGAAGTATAGCATTCAGAAAAAGTGTAATGTATACACTACAGAAATTGGTTGCTGTTTTTTTACTACTACATCCTAATTGCAACCAAAATTAAGTCAATCAGCACAAAGTGGTCGCAATTTGGAATGCGGAATTTATGTTGAATGCATTTGTAATGTGCTTCCACATTGTCAACACTTTTTAGTTATTGAGTAATCAACAGTTTTAATTGAAAACAATATTTACTCACAAAACAAATACATAACATAAATATTATTCTTTATCAATACTATCTTTAGCATCTTTTACAATGCGGATATAATGATGAGAAACAGTTTCATAAAACATTTTAATAGGCATTACAATCTTTTTCTTGAATATATTTTCTATTTTTAGGTCTTGTTGACCGTTTTTCGTGCTTTTACTTCTTTTTCAAAAACTTTTGTAACTGATCGATCTATATCACTTAATATTCGACGTTTCTATCAGTAAAATACAGTTAGAACTTTTTCTGGTCATTTGAGGTCATAATTATGATTTCTATCAAATGATTTTATAATTACATTACTTTTCAAAGCAATAGTGTGAGAATACCATTTGAAAGTGCGGACATAAATTGATGAGCTGTTCTGCTTTTCATGTTTTTTATTAATATAAGTAATTATTATATAGAACAGTTTTTTCACTTTTTTAGTTGTTGATCACGTAAAGTTTGTATGCATAGTTTGATATGTAGTATGATGTTTTAGTTCTCACGATTACATATTCATATTATTAATAAAACACAATTCATAATCTAATATTGCAATAGCTAACAAATCAGAGTGGTCACAATTTAGAAATGCATTAAAAATTAGATCAACGTAAACGTCTGTGTTACAAATTGTGACTACTAATGTTCTAATTGGATGAATTTTTGGTCTCGATAAGAAAGCAATGTTTTTTAGTAGTAAAGAAAAAAAACTAGTAAAATTTTTTATTTATCGGATTTTAGTATAACTTTATTTTGTGAACTCTTGTCTAAAACAATTAGTTCATCTTGTTTATAAAGCTCTATTTCTAATATAATTTTTTAAAATTAATTTGCACATTCGAAACTTAATTGAATTCTCATGTCAATGGTAACATATTTTTATTAGTTTTATTCTCTTTATAGCTAATATAATGATCTTTAATTAGAATAAACTGTTTTATCACATATTAATCATATGTCACTGAAGACTACGAATGATTGTTTATGTAAATATCAAATTACACTTCACCAAACAATCTTGTAAATCACTCTGGAAGCGCAGATCATAAGCAAATATTGAAAGAAATTCGAACTTGTTTAAAATGTTTAGTAAACATTAAAAATAATAAAACTTCTGATATGAAGATATAGAAAAAAAAATATTTTAGTACAAGGAAACTATAATATAAGAATTTCAATGAGTTCATTTGATTAATTGGAATGTGTTACTAATTGATTCTGATTCATATTAGATATGACAAAAAAAAGAAAAAAACAGAAAGAAAGAACACTTCATTGTTTGACAGTTTGTAGTGAGTCATTCAACAACAGTAGCAATATATATTTTACAGAGTGTAGGACCAAGTAAATAAACTTAGTATCAGTATAGAAAAAAAGATGCCTTATGGTACTGCTTCCATTCTTCTGTTTTTCGTGGGTCTGTTCTTTTTTTCCTTTCCGTTTATCGATTATTATTTCGTCCGTTCAGCTACTAGTTCTTTCTTTCTTTCTCAGTATATATTCTTCTTTTTTGGATAAAGAGCAATCCTAGGTAGATCAAGAAAAGAAAAGGAAATAATGTTAGGATAATGATTTTTCTTTGTTTGTCTTTGCGACATAGTTATAAATATATATATATGTTAGCTCGTTTTACGAGCTTTACGTTTATTTAATCTATATAACTGTTGTCCTTGATCACATATATATTACGCAATACGAGAGAGAGAGAGAGAAAGAAAAGAAGGAGAGATAACAATAGCAACAATGGAGGATAAAGGAGAGCGATGGAAAAACATTAAGGGATTGGAATGAGAGTGAATCACCGCTAACAATATATCTTCTTAATTCGGTTCTCCTTAGTATAATTGTGCTCGATAACATCATATTATGCACTCACTATTTTTATTATTCCAGTAAGAATATTTTTGTATTCAAAATGTTTCGTATTCGTTCAAAAAAACTTCAAAATTATTATTCAGTTCCACGTACTATACCACAAATATGTTATAGTTATTGTGATAATAAACGACATATTTTATTATTAATACTTTTTCTATTTACAATTCCAATAATTTATTCAATCTCTTATAAATCGATTGAATCACAAATTATTGACGAGACTGACATTTGTTCGAAATTACTTGATATTATTTATAATAGTAATAAAACTTTATGTAGTGAAGAAGCTAATCGTCGTGGCAATAAACAACGAATTATATCATTATCAGTATTTGGTCCAAAAGAAAATTCATTATTTATTGATGAAAAATTTTCTCAATTTATTTCTCCATTAATTGATGAAGCTCGGTTATTATTTCCAACATGGACTATACGTTTATACTCTGATGAATTAACAATAGATAGATTAAATTTAAAAAACTTATCACAATTATCAATGAATATTGATATATGTAATGTTAATCAAATACCAGTTGTAGGTAATGTTGGAGAATATTTATCTGGAAAATTATGGAGATTTTTACCAGCACTTGATCCAATGGTTGACTTATTATCATCACGTGATCTTGATTCACCATTAACACAACGTGAACAAGTTTTAATTGAGCAATTTATTAATTCATCTTATTTATTTTTAACAATACGTGATCATCCGTTCCATGGAATTCCTATACTTGGAGGTTTATGGTCAAGTGCATTATATAGAAATCGTTTACTATTTTTTCGTTTATTTAGTATTTTACTTGATAAAATTAAAGTTCAACAATATTCATTTGCTAATGATCAAACATTGTTAACAGAATTAATATGGCCAAAAATTAAACATCAAGCATTAGCATTTGATTCTTATACATGTCAACAATTTCAAGAAGGAAATCAATATCCTTTTCCAACACAGAGGCCATCAAGAGATTGTCATTTAGGTTGTGTTAGACCTTGTTGTCAAAATTCATCAAAAATTCGTTTAGACAAACCATGTCCTGCAGAATGTAGACCGAAAAATCATCCAGATTGGATTTATTGTTAATTTAGCTTATTTTTTTTAATTAAAATACATTCAAATTATTATAAAAACTATTCAGTTACTTATTTGTCATGACACAATTAGAAAAATTTTTGTAAGAGTATGCGTAATGTATACACAATAGTGTCATAATAGTTTGAACAAAGAAACCCAATTAAAAAATAATTTCTTTTTAAATTTTTTAAAATAAATATTGACATAGAAAAACCTTTTATCTGTTCTAATATTTGTTTGACACACTAAAATTTCAAGAAAGTAAAGATGATGTTTTTGTATTTTATTAAGAAAATGATTTGATTGCTTATTATTTTAAACTTTGGAATCAATTAACAAAATAGCCAATCATTATGTTCTTTTGGTCGACAAATGGACGGACATTGTTTATAAGAAGAAAAATCGAAATTTTGTTTTACTTCGGGTGTACAACATGGTTTTGGACAACCAACAAAGCATGATGGATGTTTACGTTGACTTGGAAAAGGACGAGTATCCGCTCGATAAATATAACGTGACCAGAAACATGTAAATGAATCATGTGCAAGAGAATTATGACGTGCAAGAGGCCATATATAATGTTCCAAAAATAATTGATCACCTCCACCTGAATAAGTATTATAATACTGCTGTATTTGTTTTTCATTATTTGATGGCAAAAGTGCATTAGCCATTATCAATCGATCATTAAATGAAAGACGATTTAATGCTACACCCCATAATCCACCAAGCATTGGAATATTATGTAAATGATGATCACGCATAATATGAAATGCATACACTGTCTTTGATAACCATTCATTAACAGCATGAACTTCACGTTCAAAAATTTCCGAATCAAGATCACGAACCATTGATACACCAACAAGTGGATCGACTAAAATAATTTTCTTTTAATTTATTGAATACTTTGTTTTTTCTTATTCTTAAAGAACTTATGAAAATTATTCTATTTAAATTTTCTTTTTATTTCCAACTGAGCAATAAAATATATCAAAGGAGACTAACTTCTGCCCAGAATAGAAGACTTCCATTGATTTATTGATTTCTCAACACATTGAAACTATAATTAAGACATTTACGTTGTTATAATTGCGAGCAAAAAATGTTAACACATTATTTCTGAACTTCTAAAACTTTAAAAATCATGTGTTAAATCTTTTTAATTAGAAATTTTCAATAAAAGATCCCCCCTCACCTGTTAAAACTTTGTAAGTTTCGATATAAAAGAAGATCTAGAATCTTCTCTTACGTCGAAGGGTTTAATGAATGTAACTATTCTTGTGTTTTTTTTAAGTGCATCATATTGTTGATATTGAAGTCTTGAATAAAATGGATCGTGTTCAGAACATGTGCATCAAGTACACATGTATATATATGCATATGATTTGTATGCTGTTGTACTTTGAATGTCTAATGTCTTTCCGAGTTTTGTACTTTTTTAAAATAAAATACATAGTATGTCTTTATTGTATAAATATTCTTAATTATTTAACTTATTATAATTCTAGTATAATAAATATATATATTTGGTGAAATAAATGCAGTTTTGAAGAAGTTTCTTTATATTCTTTTATTTGTTTAATTTTTGGTCTTTTTCTACTGTCATCAAAACATAAATATTAATATAAACTTGATCATCATAGCCATAACCTATCGATGTTAATCATTAGACCATGTCTATTTTGTAATCGAAAAATAAAAGGATTCCACTATGTTTGAATAGCTGCTAATCTATATATGTAATTTAAAATAAATAAATCAACATGGCATCTTTTATTTAAATATATAAACGAAGTTAATACATTTTACACATGGTCATGGTCCAATGATTAACATTCATAAATAATAATTGTGATGATTAGGTTTATATTAATTATTGTTCTTATAATGAACGGAAAAACCAAAAACTAAATAAATAAAGAGAACTCGAAAAAAAAAACTCAGTGAAAGCTGCATTTATTTTGCATTTATTTATTAATATACATAACGAGATAAGTTCTGTTAATAAACCATCGTCAGGTGTTAAATATTCTACACATATCAGATCATTTTTAAGAGAAAGAAAAAGAAACCAGACTTTTAGCAGAAAATAACACAAAAGAAAAACTTAATGAAAATGAATTGCGTAAAACAACGAATAGGTGTTGTATTAAATATGGATGGTAATAGCAATCAAAAGAATGGATTCAAAATATTAAGTAGAAAATACACTATGTTCCTTGAATAACAATTAAATATAAAAGTTAGCTTTAATTATTAATTCATGTCATGTCATGCAAATGTTTTTTCTCTAAACTTGATTTTTTAGTTTCTACTTACCGGAAGGTAAAAAGCGTTGTATTTTACCAGGTAATTTTTTTATTAAATTTCCTAATACGGGTAAGTCTTCGGTAGAACAAAAATCAAGATTATCATATAATTTTTCTAAATTTTCTATATCATTTTTTGTTTTACTTAATAAATTATAATAATAGACACGTACAATCCATGATGGATAAAATTTTTTAGCTTCATTAACAAATATCTGAATATAAGACCATGTAAGATTTGTTTTTAATTCAATACGATCATTTGATTCATAAGCAGATACACTTAATACATGCTGATTAAATCCTCGTCGAGCTGATCTTTCTGAACAAAATGATTTAGTTTCAGCTAATTTTAATAAATTTCGTATATGTTCATTATTTATTTCATATTTAGGTTGAAGCGAATTAATAAAAATAAATGTAACAAATAGTAAGAAAATAATACCAATAACAATAGGATACCGTCGGCGAAGAATTGATTGAATCGGCATCATATTCATCTATTAAATTGAGTTCATATTATTCATTTTATAAAAAAAATCAAATCTTTTGTTATTTATCTAATACGATTATTGACATGAAACGTAACTAAGCAAAACAGAAATGAAATAAAAAACATCTGCACATATGACGTATTTATTTCTTCAATTCTATGTACTAATTACATACTACATCGCAGCAATGGCTTGAATGAGCAATGAGCACTAGGCAACAACGAACTCTGTTTTCGTACAGCACGATGACAGGTGTTTTTACACAAGCGTATCGACGACTTCCGCACCAAGGACATAAGAAAAGCGAAACTGAAAGAATTTGAATATGCAACTATACTGCGTTAAAGCTATTCTGAAAGAAAAGCTAAATACAGAAGAACAAAAAAAGAGTACACTTACAGAAAGTAAAAAAGAACAAGGTATCGATGATCTATTGTTTGATTGATATATGACGACCTCTAGTCAAATAAAAATCCTATTGGTGTAAGAAATCTAATCAATCGAATTTAATCTTGCAAATAAGTATCAAAAAGAAATTCATTTTTCCGAAATTTTTGTTGATTAATTATCATCATGTCGTCGTGGAAAAAATCAAGCAAAGTTGGGCAAGTTCAACATCGAGAACGATCTCAAGTAAATTTCATTTTATATAAATAATCAATAAAAACAATATATACAAATTAAAATTTCATTTTAGCCTTCAACACGTCAACATTTAGGTTTCCTTGAAAAGAAAAAAGATTATAAAGAAAGAGCAATGTAATTAACATGAAAAAAAAAAAGAAATTTTTCTTTTAAAAATTTCAAATTGTTATTTTGTTTTTAGTGATTATCAAACAAAAGGAAATGTCATACGTGAGCTTAAGAAAAAAGCTTTGGATAAAAATCCTGAAGAATATTATTTCAATATGATCAATACTAAATTAAAAGTATATATATATATGTTTTGTTTTTTCTTAATATTCATTAATCAGATATTTAAACATAATGAAAGAGCAAGATTAAAAATCATGCTTGTTATAGATTGCATAGTGAAATTAGAATGAAATATATTAGTTGATTTATTCTTTTTTGAAACATTTTATTATTTCAAACATTTATAATAGAACTGATTGAGTTGAATATTTTATTGGAGAAAAGTTTATATTTTGTAAAAGGATGATTGATTCATCATCAAAATTTGTTTGTATAAGTTACTGAAGGTTTTGAAAAAAATCCTTCGATAGGTTGTGTGTTATATTATGCACTTAGACCACTTGTTGTTATCATACAAATAAAATTCTCATTTACAGTTACTCAACTTGTAAAATTTTCCTCCTAGGTCTTCCGAACATGATACTAAATCTGATCGTAATGTCGAAATTTTTTTGTATTCAAACATTTTCCATGAACGAAATACTCATCACTGGAAAGTGAATAGTTAACTTTGATACGAACCTCTATGAATAACATATTCTTCTCCTTATAATTGACAAGATTATTTCGAACACGAAAAAGGCTTTTTTTTCTAAATAAATTTCTACAAACATGTTTTTCTACGTTTAGTTTTTTAAAAATTTTCATTAGTGTATTCTAGTCTTTTTCTTTTGATAAAACATTTACATTTAATATTGTCTTATATAATATTTTTAATGATATAGAATGGTGTTCATAGTTTAAAGAAAAAATATAAAGAATATAGTGACGATCAATTAAAATTAATGCAAACACAAGATTTAAAATATATAAAATATAAACATCAAATGGAAAGAAAAAAAATTGATAAATTACAAACATCATCACATTTAATAGATGCTGAATATCGTCCATCTCAATCACATATATTTTTTGTTGATTCACAAAAACAAGGTTTGCTTATTCTCATTAAAAATAAATAAATTTTCTTGTTTTCTTATTTAATATTAATTAATTTAGTTGAAAAATTTGATCCGGTTAAACAAATGCGAACACATCCATCATTAATTAATCGTCGATCCAATCGATTAACAATTGAACAATTAAAATCAACAAAATTTAATTTCGATGAAGAACAAATTAATGTATTTTCTACTGATTAAATTGTTTTTTCTTTTATTAAAAGTTAAATTTATAATTTAGAAACTTCAAAAAATGCGAAAGAAAAAGTATTTAGAATTACAAAAACGAATTGAGCGTGAAAAGAAATTACAACAAGTTGAATTAGCTATGGAAGATAAACTATTACTTAAAGTAAAAAGACATTCTTCTACTTTTTTTAAATTAAATAAGAAATTTTTATTTTAGAATCCAAAACAAGCGGATGATGATGAATTTTGGTCAGACAATGAAAATGAAAAAATAAATGAAAAGAAAAAAGCAAAAATTATACCGCGAAAGAAATAAAATTTTTGTTGTTTTGTTTTTCATTAAAATACAAAATAGAAAAACATGTCATTACTTCTCTTTTTTTTTTGTTTCAGATGAGTTTAAGTTCATTTAATAATAAGGTATGAGAAGATACATTGGAAAACATCAAAGTGAACTTGTTTTTTTTTAAATGAAAGGTTATTGAATTAGGAAAATCAGCCAAACGAAGTAAAGTTCGTTCAATTAGAAAGTTAACCCGACAAATTGAACATGAACGAAAAAAGTAAATAATTTTCATTAAAAATAAATATTCATTTTAGTATTGTTTATAATTAGAGATTCAAACGATGAACGTATAACACGAAAGGTTACAAGAATGATTGAAGAAATTCATCAAATTCGAGTATTAGATTTTGATATAATTTAATTTAAGTTTATGTTTTCTTTTATTGTTTAGAAATTACCTATTAAAGATGTCGTCTTATTTGCCATGGAAAATGAAGGAACCATAGCTGAAGTTCTACAAAAATATAAGGTAAAAATAAAAATGGTTTAATACAGTGTTCGTCGATTTTCTTTCAAATACAATTTCGAAAATTTGAGAAAAGTGAAATTTAGCTGAAAAAAAATTTTTATTTCAAACCAGAGATTTTCACAGTGAGGTTTTTATATTCTGTCCTGCTTTACTGAATCAGACAGAGCAGAGTATTCTGGAAAACCGATACACTGTCTTGGTTGTGCATGAGATGCTAGAAAATGTTTTTTCGACAACTCTTGAGATAAATATTCAGAGACTGGTTCTTGTGCATTTTTTCAAACTACTGTCCCTCTGTATCAAGGCATTTGTGCATTCGAATAAACCAATAATTAATGCAGTTTTTGAAGTCATCTTTTGTCAGATTGCCAATGGTTTATTCTAATGCATTCAATATTGTGTTGTTGTCATCGAAATGTACTTCATGCAGTTGGTTTTTTAGTTTTGGAAACAAGAAGAAGTCGCACGAATTTAGATCTGAAGAATTAGGTAAATTTTGGTGTGACTTCACATGATTTTTGCTCAAAAATATGTTAGTAATCCAAAGGAGACCTCGAAGAACATTTTTTGTCTCCATTCTGATAGAGTTTTGAAGACTTGTGGTAGGTAGCTATTGACCGACCAACTTTTATTTATTGTCTGACTAGATTCTAATGATATAGACTTGATTAAATCAGACTTCATGAACAAAATAGCCAAAATCGTTTGTCTTTACTTTTATTTCGGCAAACTTTGGTTGAATATGGATCCCTTTCGAACATCTACACTTTTAACTACTCTTTTCTTTCCGAATCATAATGATACAGCCATGATTCGTCACCAGTAATCACGTCGAATACACGATGGAAATGACCATCTCAAAATATCTTTATTGACTCACAATAAAGTTGAATACACAACTGTTTTTGATCATCGATCGGTTGATGAGACATTCATTGGGCACAAACTTTGCGTAACTTCAGATGGGCATAAATTATTGACTTGGCCAATGATGAATTAATTATTAGCTAGGATGTCTTCTATCGGCTCGTATGTTGCATGACGATCATTTTTAATAATTGTTTGTGCAGCATTAGTCGTTTCTTTGTCGATAGTAGTTGGAGGACGATCGGGACGAGCATCATTTTCAATAATGATATAGCCACATTGAAATTGATGAAATCAATTGAGAATTGTACGATCTGATGAACTTTGATCCCCTATGCCTGTGATAATCGAGTAGATCTTTCAATGTATATCAAGCTCATTTTCCAGTTGTATCAAATCATTATTCGAAACTGCTTTCGTGACTAATCAAATTTCATAACGAAAATGGTGTATGACGAATCTTAAAGAAATGAAGAATTATAAAGATGTTCAAGACTTAAAAGTCTGAAATTTTCCGCATATTCCTAAATATTTCTAAGCATTATAGTAGAAATCTTTCTCTCAAATTTTGGCTTTTAGGTGAACTGGTCAAAAAAACAATTTCTAGTGTCTTATGTACTTTTTAATCGAGTTCAAAAGCAATGACGTTTGCACATTTCAAAAGTACGCCTATTTTCAAGATGAAACATGTATTCTTTTTCCAATAGTATGACTCTCTTTTAATTCAATGATGATATGAATCTTAATTCTTTTTTCTAATTTATTCATGATTAAGTATAATTTATATTTTTGTTCTATAGCCAAAGAGTGACGATATCAAACAACATGCATTAATACGTTTAGCAACAGAAAAATCTCTTCAATCAGATGTAATATCTTTAAAAACAAACAATGATTATGCAAAATCATGGCAACAATTACTTATAATGTATCGTTCACGATATGAAAAACGTTTAGCATGGAAAGAAAAATCAGAAGATTTTAAAAAAATTGAACAAGCTCTTGTCGATCAACAAAAGGAATTACAAGAAATTGAACAAGCTTTACCTAAACCATTAAAAATTAAAAAGAAAAAAGAGAAAAAAAAATCGCCTATAAAACGTTCAAAACAAGCTGTTGTTTGTGTACTTGATCTTGAAAATAAAACTGCTGAACCATTTGGAAATCATACAAATGATGATGATGATGATGATGATGATAATGAAAATGAAGAAAAACCAACTGAACAACCAGAAAAAATGGAAATTGAACCAAAACCAATTTCATCATCATCATCAACAACAACTATTAATGATCCATTTTTTTTGAATAGTCAACATCAAATAACGTATCAAAAAAGAACAAGTCTAAATAAACATGAAATTGATCTTGATGATAAAACATTTATTGAGCATTCTTATTTTGTTGATGCACTTTCATCATCATCTAATCGACGCGATGGTCGTGGAGATGTTGCAAGAAAAAAATGGGCACATTTATCACTACCAAACCGACCACGTCTATCAAATAAAACATCATCGTCAAATGAAAAATCCAATGGTATATTAATATGTAGTTTTAAAAATTGATAAATTTGTTTCTTTTTTCTTTCTAAATAGGATTAGCAAATAATGATAAATCAAAAGTACAAGATTCAAATAGTAGCCATCTTCATCCATCATGGGAAGCAAGTCGACAAGCTAAATCACAATATTGCATTCAAAAGTCACAAGCGAAAAAGATCGTTTTTAATAATAGTGATGATGAAAATTCTTAAAAACGAAAAGTTTTTTTTTGTTAAATGTCATTGTTTTGAATTAATAAAATTGATTGTTACAATCACATTTACTTTTTTTTACAGTATATCATCAATATTAAATCAATATGTTAGAACGAACAGTTCATTAATTGAAAATTTTTCTATTAGCTTAATAGTATATCAAAATGAGATAAAATATGACATATACCAGTTTCATTTTTCTTTATAATTCGATCAGACAGCATCACAAGATGAATTATAGGGTTATTTATTCTTTACATAGGTTTATAAAAAAAAAACCATCATGCTAACCTTGTTGATTGCTTATAAAAACAACTGCATAAACAGACTACTAATGAACGTTCAAGATACAAATGCCTATCATATGGTATGTTCGTACAACATTAGGAAGGTTAAATCAATCATATAATCATGTGTAATACTTTGTTTCTCCTGATGTCATATATTCTTAGTGAAAAATTTACTTATTGTATTGATGGATAATGTCTGCGTTTCAAGATGGATCAACAATTTTCTTTTTTGTTGTTTATTATTTAATCATCATGTTAGAGATATCATTGCCAGATATGGTTACTGTCCTTCATGCATTAATAAGACAATAAATTAAGCGACGATATAGACAATATCAAGCAAAATAATCGTACCATTACGAACTAGAATTCAAAGCTATAGAGAATAAATCTATTAAAATTAAAGGACATTTCTATTATTCGTTTTCAATAAAAAAATTTTTTCATATAGTACTGATACGTTCTAGGTCAATGACAATTGAAAAGTATGCATAATCAAATGACTCTCAATAATCATTATCATCATTCTCTGCATCAGCGGGGGCATACACTTTGTCTCTTTTCTTTTTCTTCTTATATCAATAGAATATGTCCATCTGTGACCAGCTATCACAGTTAACAATAACCATGCTCCTCCTTCTTTACAAAAAAAATAACATATTCCTTTTTCTTCATCATCAATTGGGTGTTTAAATTTGTGCGTCAGTTGTTGCCACCAGTTAGCAAATGAAAAAAATGAGTTTTTTTTTTTTAATTCTTTTTTCCTTTATATTCCGAATGATATATAAATACAATGATGTTCACTCTCTTTTTTAGTTTTTTTTTTTATTTAGTTTGTTCACTAAATCGTCTCTACGTTTTGATTGTTGCTCAGAGAGTCTGTATTATTATTTTGACTCTTTGACAATGGTCAAAATCTTAAACGGTTTATACACGTCGATATATATAGTGCATATTGAAAAAAAAAGCCCTTAGAAATGATCAGCAGAATTCTATTTTATCATTGAAATGAAATCTAATTAAGTGTAACAAATTCAATTCAATGCATTTGAAAACGAGGTCTAAACAGCGCCGTTCGATTCGTGAATGGTATGAAGAGTTTCGATCAACAGCTAATAAACATATTCATACATTGGGTAATTTTATTTATAATCGAGAACACCATGAAATATTTGGACGTGATGGAAAACGATGGAGTATGATAGAAAAAATATTTCATTTTCTATTTTCTCATAATTTCTATCTTAGGCAAATTAGCTGCTTTCTATTTTTGTTTCTATGTTGTCCTTGGTAGCTTTTTTTGTTTGTATTTATCTATATTTATGTCACTCTTACCATTAAATCAACCAAGATATATAGGCAAAGATAGTCTATTAACGTCTCGTAACAATCCACTTTCACCAGGTGTTTTACTACTTAAGAAAGAAAAATGATTTGTAATATATTTCTTCGTTTATTAAGGACTTAGTTTTCGACCGCAAGCTAGTTTCAATCTAAATGATGTGCAGACATTGATAAGTTTATCATCTAATGATGAACAAAGTCAAAAGGAATCAATTAATGATAATATTGAGATTTATATAAAGAATCTTGATGAATATTTAAAAGTTTGTATGTGATAAATAACTTCAAAAAACAAAGAAAACGTACAATTTAACTTTGTCGTTTATGAAAATTCTATTCATATTAGATAACAATACACGAAGCTCTAAAAATTTCACTATTCATGATGTAGGTGATTGTAATTCAATTAATCATTATGGTTATAAAAATGGTAAACCATGTATTTTAATAAAAATAAACAAAGTTTGTTTGTTTGTTATTGTTTTTTTTTCGTTATAAACGATTTTAGATTTCTTAGCTTATCGGTTTTATACCAGAGATTGATAGAACTGATGCTGATAATAAAACTGAATCAGAATGTATTGGTATTCCTAATATTCCAGTTCGATGTATGGGCGAGGTTTGTTTCAAAGTTTTTCAAATAATATTCAACAATTTATGTATCTAAAATAGTATCTATTTGACCAAGAAATGCTTGGCGACATTGTATATTATAGTGAATCAGGTTCAAGTGATGTATGCGGTTCAATTGATATCAAACATTTTCCCTATAAGTATTGAATAATTTGTTTTTTTTCTTTACTTTAATTTTTTCTTTAATAAAATTTATCTAGTGGCAAAGAAAATCGAAATGATGTTTATCAAGCTCCATACGTATGGGTACAATTTAAAACTATAACACCATATGTATTGATATCTGTTGAATGTCGAGTATTTGCTGCTAATATATTTTATGATAAAATTGCACAACGAGGCAGTATACGTTTTCAATTGTATCTTAATAAAAAAATATAGAATTTAATATCTTTACATGCATATATATACATAGAATCATCAGATGTATTGCTGCAAGTACATATGTTTATTATGTACAGATGTTCATGTCAGCTATAAACGTGACCTCAGCTGCAAGGCTGGAGTATATACTCTTTCGTAAACCTTCTATCCGTCATTTATTACTAAGACTCATCAGTTCTCATTATTAAGGGAACTGGTTATTATATGTTTGCTTTCATTCTTATTCAATATACAATAGGTTATAGCAGATGAACAGCAGTTTTGTATATACATTATTTAACTAGTCTATCAGTCCATTCGCTTTAATTCTATATTAACTTCCTACACACATATGTACGGATAGTTTGCGAGTAAATACCGTACGCGTAATCGTAGAGAGAGATATTATTCATGGGAGAGTACCAATCAACCTCAGCTATCCTTTTTCTCTACACTATACTTCTTTTCATATTGATGATGAGAAAAAAAGAGAAGAAAGAAAGAATTCTTAGGGAAACATTTCCTTCTATTCTCAATCATTCTTACTTCTCGAATAATAATATATACACATACACATAATACAACTCTTGTGTATTATCATTTATTAAGTCATCAACACATATCTAGATGGCATCAAAATTGAATGTTTTACTTTTAATTACTGTCTTTTCATGCTATCAACTGTTCTTTATTAAAGTAAGTAAATTTGAAAAAAAAAATATTCGTTTTATTATAGAAAAAGAAAAAAGCCTTTCATTTTTCTCGTCTTTGTTAATGACAATTCTAAAAATATCTATCGAAGTTCAACAAATACTTCAAGTTCTATAGCAAATTTCTATTGACATACTTTTCAGTCCAGACATTTCGATTATCTCCATCTGTTTATATACAGTCATGAAATCAATTAAAACAGACATATATGTTATTTCAAGATATCTATTTTTACCATGTATAATAACTGTGCGATAAATATCTTCGTCCTCGATAGAAAACAACAATTAATCAAGAGACAAACATCTTTCTTTATACTTGGCAACATTACTAGGACACAAAATTCTTGATCATTACGCCTCTACTAGAAATCCTCTATATACTGGTTATTTTCCCAGCTTAAAATGTTAACTAAATATATCAGTTAAAGACAATGTCTGACTTGTTTTAACATCTGGTGGTGGTAGTTGTAAGAACAGACAAATATCAACATTACATATACATGTATTTCAATCGGATTGAAAGTAAAATTCTCTTGAGATTATTATTGTTTATGTAATAAGTTCCAAGGAGCTTTCAAACAAATTATTTTCTATACGGTCTTTAATTGCATCTATTACATAATTTGAAACAACAAAAAAGCATTAAGAACTACAATTAGGTTAGCCAATATTTTTAGTAGGATATGTAAAGATACTTTCTGTTTAATGTAAGTACATGACACTACTTGGTATGGACTGTATATGTATCTGATCGCATGTTAAGTGTTGATAATAATGTAGGTGTTGCGAGATATCTTTTCAATGAAATAATGCTAGAGTTGACGCGTCAAGGTAATAAGATAAACAAAGAATGTTGCCTTGACTTAACCAATGTCATTTGTTTATTTAATTTAGGCTCAATCTGAAGTAAAAGATGTACCAAATGAAGCATTAAAAGTGGTTGACGAACAATTTATAAATGATTTTGAAGGTCAATATTCATATCCTTTATATTTTTTTTATTTCAATAAAATGAATTCTGTTTTTTGTTTTCTTTTTGCAAAAATAGATCGATGTGCAAGTACAAAATGTCGTGATGGTGAAACATGTATATTAAATAAAGATGGTGATGCTGAGTGTGCTTGTCTTACACAATGTGAAGATCCAAAAGATGAACGTTTAATGGTAAAATAAAAAAGTTTGTTTATTATATAATATTTCCAATAATATTCTATTAGGTATGTACAAAAGCTAATCATACATATACAACCGATTGTGAATTCTATCAAATGCAATGTTGGTGTCGTCGAAATGATGAACGATGTACACGTCGAGAAGCTCTTACAGATTCAATTGATTATTTTGGACGATGTCAAAGTAAAAACAAGCCCCCAAAAAAATGATTTGATTTTTGATTGTTTGAATTTAGACCTTGGTGTTTGTACGGAATTCGAATTAGAAGTCTTTCCAAAACGAATGACAACATGGCTTGGAGAAATTCTTGATACATTGGTTTGTTTAAACAAAAAATTTTAGAAAAAGATTTATAGAATATTTGATTGAATTTATTTGTTTTTGTAGTTTGTTCGTAAAGATCTTAATGCTAAATATGAAGTATTAGTTAATGAAGCACGCAAAATGAAATTATCAAATACAGAAAAGTGGTGGCGTAATGCTGTACTTTGGGAATTTTGTGAACTTGATCGTACACATGATAAGTAAATTGAAATTTTTAAAATTGAAATCACTTATATCATTTATATAATTATATTTAAAGTTCAGTGAATAATGAAGAATTAGCTCGTTTTGTTCGATCACTTAAAGTACTTGAACATTGTATTCAACCATTTTTGGATCATTGTGATACGGATAATGATAATAAAATTTCATCGGATGAATGGGGTACATGTTTAGGTTTAGATAAAGGTAACCATTGCAAAATTTATTATTATTGTTTTTCTAATAATTATTTCTTTAGATGATATGACTTTCTTAAAAACATTCTGTTCACATTAAATCAACAAGACTGTTTCGGTTAATATTTTATGAACAGTATACCGATCAGAAAGCATGTGTGTGCGTGTGTGTGATTATTAGTTTAGAATGTTTTTCTTGCATATCGTTTTATCAATAAATAAAAATCATATATAAATCACGCTATAGAATAAACTTGTTATTTTTTTTGAATTGCCTTAATTATAAAATAATATGTTTTCTTGTTTTTAAAAGTTCAAGGTGATATATAGGACTTTTGTATTTAGTTATTTCATGATATTCTAAAATAATTGCGCGTTATTTCTTGTATATGACGGTCTATTATTATTTTTAATTGTCATCAGTTTGTAATTAGTAAAACGAGCTTCTAATAATTTTTTGAAATAGATATCATATCAAACACAGTATTATTGTTGTTAACTTGAACAATATCGTTTAGTAATCTCATTCAATCGCATTATATTCAATTATTTCATTGTTTTTTAGAATTAAAATCTATAATCATATGATGAGTATCACGAGTTGAATATATCGTACGTCATTCAATAATAATAACAAGCAATTAATGTTTTTATTTGACTATTTGATTCATCCGAGATATGACACAGAAAAACATAATGTTTATGGTAATCTAATGAGCAATAAAATATTTACCATGAGTACTCAAAAAAAAATATCTTTTTCTAATTAGCATCTTCCTTTTCTTGATTACTCTTTCTTTTATAGCTGTGGTTTATTCTGCGGTAATTGATAATATTTTTTCATCTCGGTTGACTGCGTTTTGATCTTTCGATTGATTCTAATGTGCTAGTGATTGTTACATAACATCATATATATATGTCCTAGTCAGGTTTTGTTTGGTACTTATTTCATAAATCATATCGAAGCGACATACTTATATAAGCTATCTACGTTATTGATTAAATTTTTTTATTTAATACAAAATCAGAACGTCATCTTAATGGCTTCTACTGTCTTGATCAATAATCCTGCAATTCAATATCTTTTACACCAAGCTGATGAATTAACAAATTCAACATTGGGATCGTCTACGATGGTTACAGATATTAGTGGCGAACAATATTTGGCATCGAATTCATTGAATATCAATGATTTGTCAAACTTGAATGAATTCAGAGTTGAAGAAATTGACCAAGCAACAGTCAGCCAAATTTCTCAAGCATTATCATCAGCAAATGCTCATCAACAATATCAACTAGTTGATCAAAGCAGTGCACTCAACGTTGTGGTTGATGAATCAACCGGAGTATTAACACCAATATCGAATTATTATGGAGAAATTTTTCGCGATCCTAATCCACTTGAAGTTATCCGACGACCACCAATACAAGGTCCAGTTACGTATCGTCAAAATGTTTCGGTACGCTTTCTTCAACCACCGCCAGCTCCAGCACCAGGAGTAAGTTTTATTTAAAAAAAAACTAATTGAAACTTTTCTTATTCTTTTTCTAATTTGATAGCCACTGATTATCAAAGAAGTTCGTCCACCACAAGTATGAAATATTATGATTTTGAAGCTTTCTCTATACAGTTTTATTTTAAATTAGCCACCAGCTCCTCCACCACTTGTCGTTCGACAACGTGCACCTCCAATTCCAACACCTCCTCCACTTATTCTTCGAGAACGACCACCAAGAAGTCCTCCTCTAATTCCTTCACAAACACTCATAAAAAAATTACCTCCGATTCCCGTTCCACCTCGATCAGTTATTGTCGAGCGTTTTTCGGCATTGCCTCCACGACCTCGTGATATTTTTATTGAACGTTGGTTACCTTATTCCAAAGAACCTCCACAACGTAAAGTCATAGTACAGCGAGCTCCACCACCTCATCCTTATCCTGCACCACGCAATGCAATCATTGTTTATGATCCAGTACAAGCTCATGTTGTACGTTCAATACAAAAATTTGGTATTCAACCACAAAATCCTGAAGAATATAAACTGCGATACGGAAATACATTATTAGATCCATCAACATTAGTAGCACAAGCACAACATATTGGAATCATTGAAGATCTTGTATGTAATCATAATTGACGTTATTTTTCTATACTTATGAGTTTTGTTTCATTTTTCACAGAGTCCACCTTTAAGTGGTTACAATCAACAATATCTAACTAATATTTCTGAGTACTTTTGGAACAATACTGAACCTATACTGGAACCTCACTATGAATATAAGACAATTGGATGGGAAAATCAAATAGAAAATAACAACAATGGACAAGTTCAAGTTTTTTGGACTGATCGTAATATAAGAAAATTCTCTATTCTTTTTTTTGTTTTAAATCTTATCTTTTTTTCTCTAATTTTAGCATACGAACATGTTTCCGTGACTCTTCAACGTCTTGGGTTTCCAGTAGATTGAATGGTTTTGAAATTTTTGTTTCCATTGACACTCAGAAGAAAAACTATATGCATATATACTTTCTCTCTCTAACCACATATGTCGAATTTTATTTTCATGTAACAAATGTATCTCATATATCTTCCTTTTTTTTCATCTATTTTATTTATTTCATTTATTTCATTTATTTGGAAGGTGATGGTATTAATTTAAAAAAACATATGCAACAAAAATAATTATCATACCATTAGAATAAATAAACAAAAACCGCAGAATTAGTTTTATATTTATGTGTCGTAGTGGGAAAAGGAGATTCTATGATAAGATCATAATATGATGTTTGTTTTCTTACGGCTCATCCTCCTATTAGATAGCTATTTTTGCCCCAGAACAACTGATCAGGCTGACAATTTCAGGATATGTGTGTTCGAATCTTTCAACTTCACAGTAAAAATATATACCAATAATCAATAGAGACAATGAATAATCAATTTTTTATATAAAAGTATCAGTGAAAAATTCCAATTTTATTAGTAAAATACAGATTTTATCAGCAAAAGAAATAAGTTTTATTCGTATAAAGATTATTTCAGTACAAGAAAAATAAATAATAAAACCACAAAATAAATAAAAAGTTCAATTATTGTACTAGCAATGCAACTTTAGCTTTTGCTTTTATAACAACAACATGTTTACATATATAATTCTTAAAAAGGCTGTACAATGGTATACTAAGTTTTTTTCAATCTGAATCATTCTTCATTCCTACATATCAAATATCAAATAACTTTTTGAATTAATAAAAAGCTGTCTACTTCTTATTTTCTTATTTATTTTTGAAGAATCATTGAAAACATAACCCTTTGATAAAGTAAAGTTGCTTCCATAGAAAATATTTTTGCATCAATAAAGGAAGAATCTCATTTAATTGGTCAATTAGTGACAATATTTGAAGCTATTGTCAGAAATCTTGATAGAGCATGATGTTCTTTAAATGTTTGATCACCTTTGTTTGTTTTATTGATTGCCTCTAAAGTGCTAATGTGTGAAAATACTCATCAAGCGAGTACGATGTGCGTATATGAGTATTCAAGGTAATACTCATGTTTGTTCTATCGCAGAATATATAACAAAACATGTATACGCTTGCGCATACCAAAACAGATTAAAGTTATGTAATAGAGTAAAATGACATGATATAACACAATAGACAGAAACTGTTTTTTTTTAATGTTTTGTCTAATTTGTCCTCTATTCTTTACTGTTGAATCATTCCCAAGTGGAAAAATCTTACAAAAGATCATATAAAAGCTTACTGTAAAATTTAGTATTTATATGACTATAAAGTTCTTGCAAAGTTCGATAATCTGAATCTTTTAAGATTTTATACGATCGTATAAAATCATAATATTAAATATCACTTATACAACTAGCTTTGATAACAATAATTTTGTGCCTTTAAATAAATATCTAAACGATTAAATGTTTTCAAATTCAAGTACAACTTTTTTTAGCTTTGAAAACATATATTTTATGTTGTGGTGTTGACGGCTAAAACATCATTCTACAGATAATTGAATGAATTTGAGTAAATAGAAGTAGATTTTCTTGTGCTTAAATTTTTTTAACTTAAGATGTTGGTGAGTGTGGATATTGTTGAAACTTAGTAAATAAGCTATTTATGTCGAACAAAACCATTCTATGTTCTGCCATATTTGGATTCAAACTTTTTATAGACTCAATCAACTAAAATGTGCCCTCAAGCTTATGATTATTATTTCTGACTGGCTGTATTTTCGTAGGTAGAAGTTTGCCAAGTCGATTATTATAGTTACCTATTGCTGACATGACAAACCTTAATGGTAATCCTGTCTTATAGATCTTGGGCAATTCATACATTCTAGCACACTGAAAAACGCACAAACTAAGTGATTTGTATTCACTTTCAGATAGAGAATCTCACATTATCATTCTTCTCAGTAGATTTATCAATCAATTCTCCTTTTTTAATTATTGAAGGATGATCTAATGTTTCAAATGTTGAAGAATCATTAAATATTTCCAGCATTCTATCAACATATTCTTTGTGATAGAGAATGGCAACGCCTTTAGTTTTATTGGATCTTTTTATATGAATCGTTTTATCTATTGTGGGATCTTTCAACATTGATAGTGATTCTTTATTGATCTTATTGTTTAGTCTGACCTCTTTCCCTGTGTTTGTCTTAAATCGATCAAATATCGATATCAATTTTGTAGCATATTGTAATTGTTCAGGTGTCAAGTTGTAAACTGTATTTTCATCTGCAGTAGTTCTTTCTCTTTCAATATGTATTGGTCTGTAAAATGGAATAATACACTAGAGAAATTAGACAACTAGCTACTAAAGTAAAATCAACAACACAAGTAATAACAATTCAGAGATCATCACCAGTTGTACACTAGTTTTTCAAGAACAGAGATGAAAGACCGAAAGATCTTCAATCAAATATCGTATATCAATTTAGTTTCACCACTTGTTCAGCTATATAATATCATTATTTAATTCTTGTATTATATAATTTATTTAAATCAACTTGATGACTTTCAAGTAAAAATAAACATGATGCATATGCATGAGTTTTAGTTAATTTAAAATTGTGTTCAATTAAACGTATATATAATTCATTATATTCTGTTGTTGTTTGTCCAAGTAATATACTAGATTTACATAAATTATAACTTATTAATAATATCATTACATCATCTTCATCACATAAATCATATAAATATGATTGATGGAAATAAATCAGATAGATATATAAATGAACCTATTAATTCATATTTTAATTGAATAGTAAAACTTATTTGAATTTTGTTGTTAACCAACAAATATATAGTTCAATTAGAATTTCTAATGAAAATGTTAAATCAACACTGTGACGAGAAAATAAACTCTAAATTATATATTTTTAAAGGTGGATGTTCATTTTCTAATTTTCTGATTGATAGAAAATATTTCTCATATTTTAGACTTTATTAATAGAATACAAGACGTAATTAGAATATATTTGAAATTATTGATATAATCTNCATAAATATAAGCATTCATATAAAATAATTTTTTACTCTTCTCATTGTTTAGATGAAACTTCCATAATTCGTACATTGAAAAATCAACTTTTATCACTTACTATCGATATTAGTACAGACAGAACACAACATAATCTAACAAACAATAATGCAATTATATTTAATCGTATCTTTACTATGTTCCCTAATTTACAATATTTAAATTTTGGTCCATCTTCAATTTGCGATGAACGATTATCCATTTGTTTGAGAGCTTCAACTGTTATTTCTACAAATTTGTGAGAATTACATGTCTCCTTGAGAACTTGTCATCATTGTCTTTATTTCCTTGATGGACATTTCAATCAACTTCGTACACTTTATGTTGATGTCAGTGTCATCGGCTATGAGAGTAGAAGAGTTAACAACATGGTAAATTATTTTTTGAATTAATATCTAATTTAAATGAATTAATAATATTGTTTTCTTCTACAAAAAACTACCTAGTTTAAAATGCTTTTGGTTACACTGTAAAAGAATAACATTTGTTTATGATGAATTAGTTTTACCACTTTTACATCGAATGTCAAATTTAGAAAAGCTTGATTTGTATATTACTGTGGCTCAAAGAAAAACATTATTTGATGGCCATGATTTGAAGATGAATATTATTAATCATATGCCACAATTAAACAAATTCACATTTAATATTTGTTCATTAAGTAGTTTTTATAATGAAATTAATTTACCATCAAATGAACATATTCAAAAGATATTTAGTAACTTTAACAATAAACAAATTATCTATTGGACTGATTATTTTCCAAAAGAAAAACAAGGTTATTGTCATATTTATTCATATCCATATCAACTGAAATATTATAATATGATAACGAATAATTTTTCAGGTGGAATATTTAAATATGTTCGTCAAGTGTTATTATATGATGAACGTCCTTTTGAACATGAATTTTTCCTTCGAATTGAGAAATTATTTCCATTCATGGAAGAATTAACTATACGTAATCATGAACAACAAATTAATAAACAATTTAGAAAATTAAAGAATGAAAATCAAGATTTGTCAATCGTTAAATATCCTTATCTTAAACAACTTGATCTTATTCAAACGTGCATAGATTATTATGAACAATTCTTATTCGATACTAAAATGGATTTAGCATTTGGTGTTCGTGTTTATATGCGGTATAAATTAGCAAAAGAAGTGACACAAAATTTCACAAGAAATAGAACAAGAAGTAATTGTGCAAAAATTAATTATGTAAATTTATGTACACGAATACAATTTGCTGGATATTCTGACAACTTTTCTGATGGAAAACAAGTTCCTGAGTATATAAAAGACTATTTTCCTCATACACAAATAGATTGATTATTGTTAATTTGTTATTTAAATAAAACATGAACAAAAGCAGATTGAGTTATATAAAATTAAAGCATTGAAACAGAGAGATAGAAGTAATAAAGAATAATGATTGAAAATAGATACTGGATAGGCAATTGTTACAAATGAAAATATTCTATCTGTCTGTGTATACACTTTAGAAAAAAAATTGAAATAACTGGTGATGCAAAAGTTTTGCATTAATTTTCTTTTCAGTATAGCATGGCAACAAATCTTCATAGATACTTAATCTTTGTTTTGTTAGAACGAGCAAGGTGTCTACTACAAAAGTATGTAAAAATATTTGATTTAAAATGGTTACCAAAGACTAAAAAGCCTTAAGAATAAGTTTGACCCAAAAAAGTGCCTTTCAACTTAACTCAAAACTAGAGATGAGAAGTGCATTTGTTTTATTTTTTTTTTGTACTCGGCTTTCGATGTTTGGTGGCACGTTATATGTGAGTCTGACCAATGCAACGTGGACTTATTAATCATACAAAAACATTCCAGTTACGAAACTACAGACTTCAAAGGAAACAGTTTTATTAAAAAGTTGATTGTTCGTCTACAATGTCCAATGAAGGTTTTCTCATAACGTCTAATAGAGAAACTAAATTCTGTTTTATATAATTTGCTTTTGTAGAGGACTCAATAAGCTTTAATTTCATATAAAATCGGCGGTTTCTGCTAACTTCAATGTTGGAAGAAATCTTATTTTTCGAAGTCATTCATTAGTTGTGAAAAATTTGCACTAACAAAAGGTGTTAGAAAAATGTTGATTTCGAACTCAACCGGTCACTTGAAAATCTTATTTTTGCGCGTTTACAATGCTCGATGGTAGTGCTACAAAACCCGATAAAAGTTGAAAGAAAAGACCAACTTTCTTTGTAGATGAAATTTCTTCTTCTGAATTCCAGAAGTTGAAAAGCACTTATCAAGTCCAACCTGTTTTTAAGACTTTTTAGTTTTTAGTAAACATTTTGAATCAAATATTTTTTACCCAATTTTCTATTAGACACTTACCTGTTTCCAACGAGAAAAAGATTAAGTCTCTATAACGATTCGTTGGCACGCTATACTGAAAAGAAAATTAATGCAGAACTTTTGCATCATCCGTTAGTTTTAGAAATAAATAGTTTGTGAAATTAACATCAGATAAAACCAAAAAAAGTTTCTGATCTACAAATGCTTATTATGGAAGTTAATGGGGAAGAATTTATTAAAATTATTGTCATGAATTACAGAAAGAAAATCAAGACTAAAATTTCTGACATTTTCCCCTTCTTTTTATGCATTGTGATTCATTACAGTCAACATTATCTTGTTACATATATAACCACTTTGTTAAACTATATGTGATGAAATTGAATGATCAACACGATTATTTGATGATGATTATGAAGTAAATCAAGTAATACAACGAACATTTAAAGAATAAGTAACAAATGTAATGCAAGGATGATTTTATTGTAAAACAAAAAATGATTGATCATTATTTTTGAAAAACTTAAAATTTCTGTTGATATTGATTAATAATAACATGATTAATATTTGTATTTAGTTCACTAAATGTTTATTCATATGTATAACAAATAGTAAGTCTTTTGTTTTTCTTATATGAAAAATATTTATGATGATTTATCTTCTTGTTTTAATTTACTATTTGGTATGAGAACTCGTTATCGTACTTTCTTTATCGAAATAAATTAAGTAAATAACTGAAGCTAGTAATGATATATTATATATGAAAGACAGTGAGATAGGCTTGTCAACGCCTAAAACAACTTGGTGCACCGTCAGCTGTTGCGACAGTACAAAAAACTCAAGTTCTCAGGCGTTCTGCTAGAATTGCTGCAGACAAAGAAGTTTCAAATCTCATATGTTGAATTCAAACGTTGTAATGAAGAATACATAGGTGCTACATCAAAAGCAACATCATTTCATGTAAAAACAAATAAGAAAAATTCACTTTTTGTAGTGAAAATAAAATCCATTTTTTACACTTTTGTATGCCATTGGAAGTCTTTCGATAGAAGAAAAACGTAAATATCATTTAAGGAAACATTAATCAATTTTAGGATAACAATTTTTGTCGAAAAGGAACAAGGGATTGTTTGTTCTATCAGTCGCATTCGTTTAGTTTGAAAAGACTCAATATTTAAGGTTATGGGTGTCAACCTTGCTAACACTAACACTCATACCCACGCTCTTCATCTTCTAGCTAGTGTTCTCTATATAAAACGACCATTGTTGAGAGATTTATCGTGTCTGATTAATTTTATTTGTACTTGCTTTCAGATTACTCAAACTAAAAGAAAAGGCGATGATGGAACTTCAGTAAAAATGGTATATTTACTGAACCACAATAGCTATCAAAGTCGAACTTATGTAGATCAATCGGAGATACCTTAGCCTATCTATTTATGCTCCAAGAATTAAAAAGCAACTGAAATATCGTATACTTATAGTCGATTCTTTGAAACATTTCGAAAGTACATCACATTCAATGTATGACAGGTCCTTGATTCTTTTATAGATTTGTGTCCCGCACCGTTCTGTATCAGCTCCTAAAAACCGTAAGTCTCTAGCTGTTTGCATTCTTGAATTATTCAAAAAACATAGGAGCACATTATATTTCTAAATGTATAATTGGCTGTATCGTGACACCTGTTACTCAAAATAAAAAGGAATCATAAACAAAAGACAGACGACGAAAAAAAAAGGAAAGAAACATTAGTCAGGCTTTCTTGATCTAAATATTAATGCACAACATTTTTATTAATTGACTTTTAAATCTATTTCGCTAAGAATTGATATTCCACCATTAGTTCCATATGATTTATTATGATCAGTAATGCATAATGTTCCAGTTGATAAAAATGTCATTGAATATGGTTCTCGAATAGAGTTAAATTTATGTTGTTCAACTATCGAATCATTATCAATTGAAACTAAGCAATGATTAACTTTATCAGGTATTAAACATTTTCTTGTACTATCAACATAAATTGAATATGATTTTAATGTTGGAGGTATATTCGAAATCACGTCTGATGTGCTTTTAATTGGATTCATTTTTTCAATTTGAAATTTATCGTTACAACATGTTAATATAAATGATGTATTATCGGGTAAAAAATATGCTGCATAAGGATAGACTTTGTTGTAGGGTTGTGATTGCAACGGATACACAGCTTGCTGATTTTTTTTGTGAAATGACCACTCACCAGCGTAAGCTAGATCTTTATCGAAGAAAACAATACGCTCACCAGATGGATCACATGCTAAATAGAAAGATTTTGTTTTTCAAAATAATGTAAACAATGTTATGCAACTGATTAAAGTCAAGAAGTATAAAATATATTAATGAAATTATCATAAAAATTCGATCCTTGTTTTGTTTCTTCGTGTTCGTTTTGATTAAATTCACTATGATTTTACTTTGTTACATTTATCATAGTATTCAGAACTCTTGATAGAATTTGTTCAGCTTTTTATTTGAAAAAGAAGTTTTCATATATTCATTTTGTTTTTTATGCATCCTAATTAACGACATCGAAAAAGTTCACATGTTCGTTAATATTAAGTCCTACTTTCCATGACAGAAAAGCATACATGTAAATAATCTTCTCAAAATTCATTGAAATAGTGTCACGATTACTTATGTCTCAAGGTTTCATAATAAAACAATAACAGAAACTATTTTTTTGATGAATCTTATTTAACATATATAGTCAATGAATAATTACTTTGAAAAGTACATATTCATATCATAAGAAATATCTAAAAAATACCATTGAAAGATACCTGCAATAGTATTTTGTTCTTTAATATATTGAATATTCCATGGATAAAATCCTTTAAGTTGACTTTTTGCAACAACTTGACTTGTATTTAAATCTAAAATAATAACTTCTTTTTTGGTAGCAACAATAGCTTGTGATGAGTTTGATGAATAATATCGAATATCTTTTGGTGTTGGTAAATCCTTATATATTTGATGAACAATACCATTTATATCAATAAGTAAAAGTGAATCATGATCAAAATTTGCAACCAATAAACGATCATCAGTTAAAGTGCAAATACCTGTTGGAGAACCAAACTTTCCATAATCATGATTAAAAGTACATGAAAGTTTGGATAAAAACTTGTTATATCTATATTTTTGCAAATCATAAATAAGTGAAGTTGTTGTTTTGATTTCTGGATCATCTGTTACTGATATTGATTCATTGGTCGTTACTTGTGTTTTATTCGAAGGTAATTTTTCATTTAGATTTGTATTTGTGGATGATGATAAAGAATCGAACTAAAATTACATCGAATAAATTCGATTAGTATTTTGAAACTTACTCCGACAGTTTGTTTTGATGTTTGTTCTTCTTGTGAGTTAATTATTGTTAAAGGAACAAGTGATGGATGAGAATGATATTGTTGATTTACTGTTACATATTCATTAGAAACACTTTGTTGTTCTTGTAATACAACTGGTAATTGAGTATAAGGTGTTTGTATCATACTCATATCAACATTATGCTGTAATTGTGGCACTGTTTGGCCAGTAATATGTTGTGATTGTTGTGTTACATAAAATGATTGATATTGTTCAACTAATTGTTGTTGTTCTAATGTTGCCATTACTTGTTGTGGATCATCAGCCTAACATGAAAAGAAAAAAAAGTAGATTTTAATTTAAAAAATATGTTTTATTTACAACTGGTGGGCAAAATGCACTTCGCAGTTGTCGTTCTGTATAATATCCAAAATTGCCTTGTCTATTATTCTCATTAAAGTTATTGGCATTCTCATATGAATTTGTTTCAGTTTTATAGTTCGACATGATGGTATCTAAAATTAATGGTATCTATTAGAATTAAACTTGGTGACGAAGATAGTGACATCAATAATTTTTTTTAAACCTTTTTTTTTCCCTTTAAGATGATTTAATGAATCATTCTTTTACTTAGTTTGTTTACCTGATCGGAAGAAAAAAGTTGATTTATTTTAAATACAGTCATTTGTTTATTTTATGATTGGTTCAAAATAAAGCCAATCCAGATTGTAGAAGTTGAAATCATTCCTTTGATTTTGTTAAACATATACCAAACAAAGGAAGATCATTTCAATACAACGAGATTTTTATTTCCTTTTTCTCAAAGACTAAATTAACATGTTTCCTAATGCAGCACCAACGGGATCAATACAACGATCTTTACCACCTGAATCTCCAGTTGCAAATTGGAATGTATTTGTATATCGAAAAGTTGAACCTACTCATACATTTCATTCGTATGATGTTTCTCAATCACAAAATCCTCAACAAGCTAATTCATCATTTTATATTCAACTTCAACAACACTATAATTCATCATTATCAAGTCATTCAAATATACTTCACTTACGATATAAATCACTACAACAAAAAAATACTGTTGATTCATACACACTTCCATTTACGATATGTTTATTAGATGATATAAAATTAGCACAGGATACAGCACCACTTGCATCAACAGGAGGAACATCATCCTCAAGATTTTATAATGCTGACCAACAAACAGTTCGTAAGTTTAAAGAAAATAAATACTTACTAAACTTTCTTTGAATAACTTCTTCATGAATAATAATGTAGCAAAGCGATTTTCGAAGAAAAAAACCTAATGTATCATGCAGATCTTTTTTATTAGAAAAACTCTATGTTATAATATACTAAAATTCAAAATCGTAAGAGTTTCTAGCAAGGTTAACTCGAAGCAGTCAACATTTTGAAGAGAGGAGTTTGTTGCGTTCTTTTTTTTACAACGGTGGAATATGTTTCTTTGCGGTTGAACCATTACTGCTTTTTCAATTCAAACGTTCTCATCAAATGGCATACATTAATATATCGAATCTAATTGTTTTAAGTTTCGAATTTCATAAGGATACTTTACAAGCGAAATATGCATAACATTTCATTTTTAACAAAACCAGTTAGATTTTAGAAATTATTAGAATAAGAATAATTTGTTTTTCTTTTTTGACTGAGCAGAAGTTTTATTTCTAGTTGTATCAACAAATACTATCAAGTCATATGAATTGTTACTAGTTATTGAAAAGGGAAATGTCATAATGATGTCACATGAATCATCGCGGAAATCTGTCAAACTAATTGATGATTCATATTCTGTGTGGGTGTATTTCACTAATCACGATCTCAAATAAGAATTTTCTATAGGGTATTATTAGCTTTTTCTATATAAACAAAAAAACATCATTCAAGAATTATTTATCTTACTTAAATATTTATTTGGAAAATTTTTTTTTTCTTTAAAGGAATCAATCAACAATTTGATGCTCTACCAACATTAATTCTGCGTGCTAAAGCATTCCTTGGTGTATTAGTATTAAACAATGCAACAAATAGTATCACTGCTAATAGTTTGTATTAAATTATAAGGAGATAAAAAAATAATTTATTATTAATATTTTTAGCTGCTGGTGTTATTCGTCCATTCATGATCTTTGTAACTGATGATGTATGCATTGGACGATTATTTGATGCTTATATATATCGTATGAAGACAAAAAAAGATTTGAAAAAAAATTGATTTTATTTTATTTTTTAAAGGTATTACAAATATTTCAGTTATTTCTATGATTGATGGTCAAGAAGATGAAACTCACGTTGCTGGAATAAAGTAACACATTTATAATCATTTCGTATTTATTAATTCTTTATATTGATTTTAGAAAATTATTTCAAGCACGATGTTTTTATTATTCAAAATATTGTAAACCTGAATCAAATAATAATAAACATTATTTTGATAAACCATATGATATAACATTATGTGCTCAACGAATGGCACAAGGACATTATAGTGATATACGATTTTATTGGTTTGTTTATTCATTTAATTTAGTTTTTATTTGTGAAACGTGAAAAGAAGTGTTGAAGTTAAAGAGATGTCGAACTAGCTTTTAGAACTGAAACGACGAGAATAAGGTTATCTCAACTGGAATTAAAGATTAGAAGTTAAATATTCCATGGTTATAAGGATTGCTTCATTCCTATATACTCTGAAGTGTTCTCTATTGATCTATAAAAAGAAACTTGTTTTTATCTTTTCTTTGTTAAAATATTTTGTTCTTGCATTTCATTTACTTGTAGTTATCTCATTTTTAGTCTATGATCATGTTAGAATCGCATGTCAAGATGTATGATAATCAATATGATGAAATTGAAAATTTTCGACTTCAAGATTATTTTTAATAGAATTTTTAATTCTTTTGCTGATTATTTCATTTATTTTCTTTCTTATGTTAGTAATAAAAGAGATGTATAGTCAACAAGACGTATATAATTCATGCGCATCTAATTTCCGACATCTGGCTGGCATTAAAAACGTATTCTTCGAACGTAGAATAGTAGTTCATTGAATGCGCAGTACTTGAGAGCCTATAGAATTCTAAATAGAAAAAAAAAGATGAGAAAATTGATATTCAATTTTCTTTCGTGTTTCACATTTTGATCTCAAAGAAATTTCATTCATAGCTTTTATCTGAAATTCAGGAAATTTGCTTTTTCTGTTTTTCAAGGAATCGGGGTTTATGTTTGCCATTGCTAAAATATAATATTGATATTCGCAATTGGATACCAAAAGTAATGTGTGGTGGAATTGAAAAATATGGAAGCCAAAGTGATGATATTGATTTATGGTTAATATCAAGGTAGTTCAAACATTTATTTTCATTACTTTTGTGAAGTGTTTCTTTCTATTAGATTAAGTTGTGAGCGAGCTGGAACGAGATTTAATGTTCGTGGTGTTAATGATGATGGTGCAGTAGCAAATTTTGTTGAAACCGAACAAGTAAAAAAAAGGAAAATTTTGATAAGTTGTTTATTTTTAATTAAAACTTTTTATAGATTGTTCTTCTTCCTAAAAAACGCAGTTATTCATCATTTGTTATTGTTCGTGGTTCAATACCACTCTTTTGGCAGCAACCAAAGTTTCATGTAAGAAAATTTAATTCATTTACTTAATTAAATTAAATAAAAAATAAAAATTTGGAATAAATTGTTTTTTCTTTATTATTTTCCGATTTCTTTTAGCCTTTTTTTCTTTCCCTCCCTTGCCAATCACTGGAAAAAACATGTGTAGAACGATTGCAGAAAAGAAAGGAAGCAAGCAATTTGAAAATGATGACAATATTTTTTATCAGTTCGTTTTTGAAATATTGGACTTACAAAATCACTAATTTTAAAAAGTCGAAAAAAATTCGAATTTTTCGAAACAAAATGTTTTCTACCAACACTCGATAGAAACCTTTTGAAATTTTTGTGACATAAATCGATGAAGAAGCCTACTAGTAAGTTAGAAGCCTTTGAAAAGCTCCATGATAACTCGATGAATTACAAATACTAAGACATACGTTTGATCGTACACCAATTATTGGATAGCTGGAGAGGAATCAAGAGCAAAGTTAATGTAAGCATTAAAAAAATTCCAAGTCACGGTTTAGAAATGTGCGTCCAAAATACGTATTATTTTAATATTAATTTCTGTTGTATCACTTCTTTCTTTTTTCTATTACTTCAACAATATGGGATAGATGTTGCTTCTGCTCATTCAACAGTGTGATCAAAGAAAAAAGCTGCTATCACAATCCTTGCGAGATTAATATGTGAAACTCAGAATAATTGCTATTACTAATCATGAGAAGATCGTTTTATTCTATCTATTTTGAGATATATTTCCTCAGTATCTTTTTACTTAATCCTGGAGAAATTCAATAAGAAAGTAATTCGCATGTTATAATCGGATGCCATTTATATACGGTCTATGATGAAAAAGCGATGTTGTTAAGGATATCTGCCACGCCTGCGGGAAGGAAAAGAGTCCAAACTTTTCCTTCTATACTTAGAAACTATTTTTGAATTATCCTTCAGAAAAAATAAAGCTCTTAGCATGCTGTTTAGTTCATTTTTTCTATCACATGGTCACAAGAACAATCAAGTAATCCTACACAAAGACATGAGTACTCAGTGGATTATTTCACATCATTAGCATATTAGGAAGGTTAACACTCTATGTATGAAATTATTTACTCTTCTCGAACTGTTGTAGTGTTAAAGAGTTAAAGTCCTACTCCTTAAAAAGGAAGTTAATTTTCGTCAGAAAAATCAGAATTAAGATAAATGCATGGAAAGATAGCTCTAGATCTGATCTTTCATAAACGACATGAGCTTTTAATTGTTACTTCAGTGTTTATTTGTCGAAATTCTTGATAATATCCGCTACTTTTTTCAGAATTCACGAAGGAACTTCATTGTAGCCAAATGCTTTCTTCTTTGGTTAAAAGAGCATGTGAAGCTACACTACTCGTTTTTGAATTAAGCTTTTTTATTATTATATAAGAGAACACTTCTATAAATAGATGATCGTTATGTTTTTGAGAGCTTTTCAATATATTGAACTTGTCGTGCTCTATCTCTGCATAAAAGATAAGAATTTTAAAAAAACCGGGCACTGTAGTTTGACATTCTCTTTCAAATAAAATCAAATTAAATATATGGAACGAAGGTCCACAGAAAACAAATGAGCTATGTTGAATTTTTTTGCTAAATATCTTCCTCGAACTTTATGATATAGGGCTGAAAATTTTAGCATAGTCTTTCCACTATAGCCTTCACATATTCTGAAAATTGCTTATGATTCGAATGGATTTGATTAAAGATTGATTGTTGAGAAGGAGAGGGGGTAATAAAAAATCATAAAAATGTTTGAAATATTGATTGTTTTATATTTATGGCTTTCTTTTCTAGGTTGGCACTCATCGTATTACACTATCACGAACTGAAGCTTTCAGTTTTAAAGCTTTCTTTGAGTAAATAGATTCTTCATTATCCTTGTTTTTGTTTAAATAAAAATTTATATTTCATAGACACTTTAAACGTCTCTATCGACATTATGGTCGTGTATTAATAATAAATTTAATTGAACAACGTGATCAGGAAAAACATATTGGAGATGAATATAGAAATTTCTTTAATTTACTTGTTAAAAACTTTAAACAAGTACAAAGTAATCAATTACATGAACAAAACTTTATCTGGTTTGATTATCATGAACAAGCGCGTTCAATTAGAAATTTGGCACCTGAACAATTTGTTCAAAAATTGTTAATTGACAATACACAATATCCCATTGCACATGAATTAGAACGACAATGTGTATTTACTTGGATTGATGGAACAAAGCAGGATTCACAAAAAGGAGTTTTTCGTATTAATTGTATTGATTGTCTTGATAGAACAAATAATGTACAATTAACAATTGGTTTACATATTTTAATTAAGCAATTAACTTCATTAGCTAAAAAATGCAATTTATATTATGTACGAGACCATTTAAGAGAAATGTGGATTAATAATGGAGATCATATTAGTAGAATTTATACTGGTACTGGTGCATTAGGACAACGAAGTAAAGTAAGAATTTCATTTTACAAACAGAAAAAAATGATTTTAACTCTTTAATAATGCGGCTTCTATCAGCGATGTCCATCGGAACGGTGACGACCGCTTTTTCTTTTGAATGACATAGCTAAAACAGCATAAATTTGCATGAAATTTTCATGTCTACAAATAAAATTTTCTGAAACTCGATGAATCTCATGGATTGATAACAGTAGTTCTAGTTCAATGAAGTCACAGCAGTGAAAGTTGAAACATTTTTTTTGAATACTATCGCAGCTCAGCAGCGACAGGTTTTCAAGGGCGATGAGTGTCTTTTATTTATATATATATATACAAAATATATGTAAGTTGATATATTGCAAGAACTACTTCTTTTATAATCATGATTCGTAAGAAATGGCTTACAATGAAACCCCTCAGATGTTACCATTTAATTTCAATGATTTTTTGCCTTTACATACTACATAGTGTTCTAATCAAAACTCTAAAAAAACTTAGATTCATATTGAGACTTGACTAAGCTATTGAGTTATTAATATGTCTATTTTCTAGAGGCCTTATGTTTTCGAAAAACTTGTATTTTTAGAATTTTGATCTGAAAATTTGTAAATATGGAGAACTCAACTAGATTACCTTCCACAAAAAAGCTCGCAAGTTTTGAACAAAATCTCTTTGAGATGTAAAGCTTTCAACAAATGTATGTTGTATACTCCATCCTTGGAAAAGAGTTGATATCTTGGATAGACTTTGTTCAACACTTGTGAAGTTTTTTATGGGAACTAGTCAAGGCTTCTAGAAAATAGATATATTAAAAATTCAATAGCTGAGTCAAATCTCAATACAAACCAGAATGTTTTTGGGTTTTTATTGAAACATAATATAGTATTTATAGGCAAAAAGTAAATGAAATTAGAAGAGAAATTTTGAGGAGATTCTCTCGTTGGCTATTGAGTAGCTATTTCTAAAATACAATATTTCATATTTGAGATGTCGCTTCAGTATACTCTGAAAAACATCCAGTATTGTCGGAAATCTCACAAAAGGGTTTCTGAAAGTATCTCGAAAACTCTTTCAGCACAAAAATATCCCAAAATCCTATGTTTTGGATTCCAAACGATACGAATTTTTTTTTTTGAGTGTAGTCAATAGAAATATATTGAGCAGTTAAGGATTGCCAACTTGTCAACATTCGAAACAAGAGATTCTTTGACGTTGTTTGATCGAATGATCTTTAAGATAAAAATCATTTCAAAACTAAAAATAAGCACATAGAAAACAAGATTTCTGATAATTGTGTACAATGTAGATGATCTTTGAATCTCGACATGTGTATGAAATAAAAGAATCTAATAATCAATACGATTATTTCCTTGTTTTGTAATGTTGATTTAATATAGTCAAGTGTTTGATTTATCTATACATAAATAATTGTATTGATTAGTAATCAAGTTGTTGTTATTTCTTACAAAGATTCATCAATACAACATGAGATTATTATGAATTTTCTTAATGTCTTTGCTTAGATGGATGCTTTGTATTGTTTTCTTACACTACAGATCATTAGTTATTGTCACGCTCAACTAGTCCATCTTATCACGAGGTTCATTCATCTCTGACATTGAACAATTTTATAGAATTTGACTGTTGTTTCAAATTACAAAATATTCTCATATCAATTAATATATTCTTTCAATACTCAGTAATTAAATTTTGCATAAGTTAGACTTCATTGATTTTTATTGAACATTAAATTATACGAAATTGAAAAACATTATTTCTCATAGGCAAAAGATATTCAACGTAGTTTTGGTCGTGCCATACAAAATAATTTACGTGACGATGAAAAACAACAATCAATTCAAACATTAATTTATTCATATTCAAAAGATTCTTATTTACACGAACGTTCTGTTGCTGCTCTTTTCACTCCCTATGTTATATGTAAATTATTATTATTTTTCTTTGTTAATGAAAAATTTTTCAAATAATTAAATCTATTTTCTAGCTGATGGTCTTATCTTAAGTGAAATACTGAAAAATCGTGAAAATTATGTTAAAAGAGAAAAAATTCGTATATCCGTTGGTACATGGAATATAAATGGAGATAAAAATCCAGCATTAGAACATGAATATCCAGCAATTCTTGATGCTTGGATGCTTGATGGACCAGAAAATCTGGCATCGAAACCAAGAAAAGCTAATGCTATTCCAACTCTTGGTTTGTTTGCAAAAAAAGATCTCCTAAAGAATTTTTATGATTTTACAATTTTCTTTTAGGATATGTCACTGATGATTATGAAAAATCTATGCCGGATATATTAGCTATTGGTTTTCAAGAAATATGTGATTTAACAGCTTCGAATATAGTTTCAAAGAGGTAAAAGATTCTGTGAAAAAAGAAAAGAATATTTTTTTTCTAAAAAGCCTTTTATTTAAATTAGTTCGTCTAATGCAAATCGTTGGGTTAATAATGTACAAAATCATTTGAAAAGAAATTATCGTAATCATGAATATATTTTATTGGGTATGGATCAACTTGTTGGTGTGTGTTTAGCTATATTTATTCGACGAGATCTTACATCATGCGTCAAGTATAATGTTCAAAATTCGTATTATTTTTTGCCTTTAATGATTATATTTATTTTTTATAGACACATTGGTATTGATACAGTTAAAACTGGAATGGGTGGCGCAATAGGAAATAAAGGATGTGTAAGTATTCATTTCCGTTGTTTATTAACTATTTATTAATGTTTTTCCGGATGTTGAAGTCAACAAAATTATTTCATACCTGAAGATTTTTTCTTAGAACTGAGAAAATATGAGGCTATAAATAGGTGATTAACGAGGTTTTTACTAGCGGGGAACAGCGTACTTTTATGTCTGTAGCTTAGAATGGTGCTCTTCCCTCCTCGCCCCCCCCCCCCGCCTCCAAAAGAAAAAGAAATGAGCGCTGGCAGGAAAACGAGAAAAACTAAAGAAAGATTGATTTATTTTGTTTAANAATTCCCCCATCATAAACCGTGACAGAGAATCCAAGTACCCATCACAGACCGTGACAGAGAACCCCGGTACCCATCGCAGACCCTGACAGAGAATTCAGGTACCCATCCCAGACCGTGACAGAGAAACTGTAGTTGTAAAGCATCAGATTAACGGTTAGCTACAAATGTATCGCAACGTAATGGAAGAAAAGGATTTCCATTTAATTAGTAATAATAGAGCTATCGTGTTTCACATTTTTAATCCCGCAAGGGATTGCGCTAACAGCTTTTTTCTAAAGAATAAGATGTGCCATAGGCAGCATTTTCTTATGTCGAGATTTGAATCGTGTGGATGGAATTCGTTCACAATGAAGTATACTACTAGCATAGGTATTAGTTCCAAGTCCGTTTGAATGAATACGGTTGTTTGTGAAGAAACATTTAAATGCAATCTTAGACTCAGAAAGAGTGCTTCATAAAATTAAAATCGACATGTATACATAAGAATATGTTTTCTTCAATTGTCAATGCACTTTTTATGATAAAAATTTTGTTGAATTTCTATAAGGATGTACAAAGGTGAAAAGACTTTTTAATTAATACACAACGGATATTAACCGAATATGTTCCTATTTTAGGACGATCTCTTTATGTATGACCCATGCAAATGTGTACTGTGCAAGGGGGAAAAAGCGATACTCCATAAGTTGGAGTATAGCTGAAGTACAGTGGAGTACAGGTGAGGTACAGTGAAGTCTAGATAAAGTATGAGGAGTATGTACTCACTGGACTCCACTATACTCCAACTTATGGAGTCTTGCTTTTTCCCTCTTGACACTGTATCAATTAGGTCCTATGAACATGAGAACAGTTTTTTTTATAGAGAATCTAAAGAACTTTTTCAGGATATGCTGCAAAAGAGCTCTGATATAACTCCACGATGTGTTTTGAATTAAAGGAATAAATGTTTTAAACAAACTGTTCTCTTTCTTATTGGCTGTTTCTCAAAGTTTTTCTAACTCGGAATTGACACATTAGTATGACGACGAAAGCAAAAAATTGCCTACATTGAACTTAGATATTATTATGAACATGAATACTAAAAAAAATCAATCAGTTGCAGAGATTATTTTTAACAAAAATTGATTTTCAGAGCATGATCTTGTACATGTATGGGTGTTTGCAACCTACGTCTGGCCAAATCTATTTGGCATCGAACACATACTTTCACATCCACAGTATGGGTTTCACACTTTTATTTTATATGAAAAAGTATATTAGTATCTTCCATAAACAGCAACAAAAACGAGGTATCATTTCTAATTTCACAAAAAAGCAAATGATTCAGAATTCACTTTTTGTCTTTCTGTTTCTTGAATCCGATCAATTTCGCCAGGTAGACGTTTACTTGTTGCCCATAACCCTAGAATAGAACCGTGTTAATGCCTAACGTGATAATTATGGATACATACATGAATGCTTTTTACATCACAATAATACAAATTCAACTTTTTGATAATGTATTTTCCTTTCCATGTACTCAATCATTTCGTCATATGGTTCATTATCATTTGTAGATGAGTTTTCATTAAAAGCAAATTCTTTTAGTAAAACAATATCACTTTCTACTTTTGTAACTACCTGTTCTAAAACACAATACATTACTCAGTCATGATCGAATTGGCTTTCATTTCTATGCTTTGATATAAATTAGCACTCTAAAGAAAGTCAATATATTTTGAACCATCGAGATCTTATTCATTGTTGGACCGAGTACTGTACCCAGTTTCAGGACATTGTTTCAGAGGAGAGTCTTCTCATTCGTCGAGAACTTTGTTTGAAGATATATTAATAGAATTTTGAATAGTAAATCTTATTTTTTTAGAAACTTCCACCTCGAATGTTGCCATATCCTCATCATTTTGTAACACCAAATAATATTGATATCGATCTTCGAGTACATAATTATGATCTTCAAAGAAAACTAACATCGATTGTTAGCACTCTTCTTAATGGAAATACACCAAAAAATTGGTTTAATACAACAAAACGACGATTAATTAATCAATATAAACGTAAATAATTTTTCAGAGTATTAAAGATTTCTTTTTTAATAATGAATGCGTTTTTTTTTAATTTTCGTAATCTCAGATGAACAAGCTGAATTAGGTTTAACAAAAGAAGAAGTAGCTAAACAAGTTCAAACACAATTAAATACTGAATATGCTGAACGAGCATTTGAAACTATTGAAAATTCTGATGAAATTGAACGTTTATCACCTGGTCTTGGACGTTTATTAGTTTCACATGCTCGTTCTATAATCATAATGAAATCAGTTGTGCAAAAATTAACAGATGATTTAGAAAAACATCTTAAAACGGTATTTATTTTTCTTTCTTTATTATTTTAAATATTAATTGATCGAATAAAAAATAATTAGACAAGAGAACAATTAATTCGTGAACATCCAATTAAATCTAAAATTCATCGTTGGATTGAAAGAAAATTATTTGAAGAAAGAATAAATTATATTCATCAACATGAATGGGATGCACATCAATTATCAATTGATCAATGTAAAACATTAGGAAATCAACAAGCTGCATATTTTATTCAACGAGATTTTACATTTCGAAAAGATGTAATTAAAAACAAAATATATTCAACATTACAATCTATTAATTATTTTTCTTTTTGTTCTAGCATGAATCAATTCTTCGTCTTAATCTTAAATCACCTGTTGAACCTATTCGAACAATCCACTGTGGTCGATCAATATGGTTTCCAAGTAAAATTAAATAGAGCGAAAAAAAAACGTATCATTTGTTTTTTTTTATATCTTCTTTTTAAGAAAATTGGATTGTCGAACGAACATATCCATTACCTACTGAACGAATCCCAACGTTATTTGCTAAACATACATATGCATCTGATGAAGAAGAAAAACGAAGAAGATTGATTCAGTCTGATGTAAGTTACCTTTAACTTTTGAAATCTTTCTAGACTCTGGAAGAAATCTCTATTGTCAGAAACATTTTAAGAATTTTTCCAAGCTGAAAATAAACGTTCGACATTCTGAAAATCTTTAAAACGTTTCGGATAGAACATTTTCATATATCTTGAAGAGTTTCGGAAAATCGAAATCCTTTTAGGCATAACAACATTCGAAAACTGTTTTATGAAACATGATCTAAAACCAATGATGAAGTACAGGGATAAAAAGTTGGATCCGCTCCCTTACAAACATCTGAGATATGACTCATCACAAAGGCAATAGATGTTCTTGACAATGTCTCTCCATCATTGCAGAGCGTGACTAACGTTGCTAATATACAATCACAGATCTTATATCAATAAAGTCTCGTTATAATATATGAACTACTTTCTTATTGTACATATTTCTGAAGGATTAAGTAAAAGCATCATGAAGAAATGTGTCTTAAACTACAAGAAATAAAACAATCTTCATGCGATTAGCAACAGCAATACATCCTGTTTCACATTGTAATTCCGTAGCGATTGTGCTAACAGCTTTTTTGGTTTTCTCACAATGCGAATTTTGTACAGAGTGTATAATTAGTATTGGTTTTTCTAGCCTGATGCACAATATAATCTTCGACGAAAAATAACTTATGCAACAACAACCAGATATCCATTTTGGAGATGGAAATTATTCGCACTTCGAACATATTGTTGGCTTTCAAATGCTATTTATACATTATGTGTATGAAAGAGATCATTTTAATCAATGATTTATTTATTTAATTTCTGTTTAGCTTGTTATTCCATTTGCTAGTCCAGTTAGCTTTCGAGCTCTATTATCTCCAAAACCATTTAGACCTAATTATGAATTGAATCGAAATGATGTACGTAAAAAAAAAGATTTATTTGATATTTTGTGAAAGTTTTTCTTTTCATTTAGTTAAAACTTCATGAGGATCCACATTCAAAAACACAAACGTTTGTTTCACGTCTTGTTGCTCTTTGGAATCATGTAAGACATTCAAGACAAAAATTCGAACAAACACCTGATCGAGGTATGTAGAAAAGCAACCAAATTCGCAATCCTTTTTCTTATATAATGAAACGATGAGAAATTTATTAAATATGATAGACGAAAACGGGCATTAAACTTTCAAGACTTAGTATATGATAAAACAGAAATCAAGATTGAAAAATTTCATTTACGACTGATCATATCCAACTGTCAGAGAGTGTTCGATTTCATATTATAGCTACGAATAGATCCCTATAAGACTAAGATAAGCTGAAAAAAATTTGCAACCATGACCTACTAATGAAGAGTTAATGTTGTTTTAATCAAATTTTTACTAAGAACAATGTGTTTTCAAAAAACTCAAAACAAAAAATTTTGATTTGAAAGTTGCTGTTTTGGGCAAATTGAATAGTCATGAGATAATCTGGAAAGTTTTGACGAAAGCGAATATAGCTATCTCAAAATATTCACTTTTCCAGAAAAATAACAGCTTACTATACAAGAATTCAACTATCACATCTACTCACAAATTAAGTATCTTGAGAAAGGCATCTTCACTTTCGATTTTTCGTAGTCTTGCATGGATCTATTCATAGCTGTAATATGAAGTTGAATGACATTCGACAGTTGAATGTGTTCTCTCGCTAAATCTCACGATCCTGATCAAAAAGATATTGTGTGAACAATAATTTGTTTATCGATGTTTTTTTTTTCAACATTGTCTGTCATTTGAACTAAACAGAGAAATAATAAATTTAAATATTCAATGAATTGCTAACCATAGTCTTAAAAAAGAGGGATCAATGAACTTTTGTGATTAATAAAAACTCTATTGGTTTTTTAAAATCTTTGTTTAGGCTTTTTGGGAAAGAATATCCAAAGAATGTTCAATCGATTTTGGAATTATGTAGCAAAAGGTTTTATCGGTACTGTTGCTATTTGTGTTATTTATCCAGCTTCATGCGCAATTCTTTCAACTGGCTCTTTCATATTAGGTGTTCTATCACCTATTTGGTATGTTTTTATAATTTAACATAATAATTTTTGATTATCCATTTATATTTAGGATGCCGATTCTTACATTACTATTTCATATACTTCAAATTCTTATCTATGATGCAAGTTCAGCTGGTAATAATAGATGAATTAGTATAATTATTTAATAATGATTTCATTTCTTTCTAATTCAGGTGAATATGGTCGAAAGATTTTTTGTCTTATTAATATTTTTATAACTGATTTTCTTCTCTGTGGTATTATACAACCAATATTAGTATTAATTGCATTAATTGCTAGTCCAATAACTTCTCTTTTACTTGTTATTTGTAAGTTATTTCAAAACTAAACATCGTATAATTTTTCTTGCTTTTAATCTATAATTTAGATGCTCTGTTACATCGTTGTACTCGTGGCTTGTATGATAAAATACTATATCAATTAATTGTTAAGCGTTTTGCTCGAATTCCTGCACATGATGGTTTTCTTGCAAGACGTATTGCTGGTCCAGGTTTAGCAGCACAATATTTTTATCAAGTTTCATCACCCGAAGTATTAGCAGCGTTAGAATCATTAATTGAACAAAATGAATTAAAAGTTTATCGTTCATATATTGAACAAATTTTAATGAAACCAGTTGATGAATATAGGTTTGATTTAATTTTATTGAATGAAAATAATAAAATGAGAAATTTTCTGTTATTTAGACGATTTTTTAATGCTGCATTTGAACCGTTTTCAGCCCAAGTTCAAATAATAAATAGTCAATCAGTGTATAGTCAAATGAATGATGTTGTTAATGAGCATACTCGAAGTTTGAGAACAACGATTGAAAAGTAATTTTATTTAGATAGTTTTTTAAATTAATTTTTGTTTGAAAAAAAGGCGTAATGATTTACTTCGAGTACATCATGGTTCACAACATAATCGTATTCGATTGACAGAAACTGATTTAACAGTAAGATTTTGATGTTTTTCATACTTATAAACTAAAAATAAAATATTTTCATGTAGGCTGTACTTATTGAAGGAACACAATTAGTAGAAAAATGGTATCCACAACGTATACTTTCTTATTTAAATAAGGATGAAATGGAAAAATTTTGGAATGATTATGATCTCGAACAAAATGATTGGTTTGGTAAATATTATTTATACTTTTTGTTTTTCGTTAATAAAACAAATATTTAATTTGTTTTCTTCTAGGTTTAACAAGTAAATTACTTCAAGAATTATTTTGTCGAGATTTCTTAACACCACTTGAACAAACAGATGTTTGTTATAGTCTTCAAGTATGTTATATTAGTATGAAATTAATTTATAAAATATTTCTTTTTAAAGGTTGATCATTTAACTTTATCAAAATATGCACATATGATCCATTCAGCTAATTTACATGATGATCTTGATGTTGTTACAAGTGTTTATTTACCTGAAGGTAAGTTAAATTTGTTTCATATCTAACGAAACAACGTCATTGCACTGATAAACATATTTGACTAAGTATGCGACCAAACCGTTTCAATCCTTTTTTTCTAAAATGAAGACAAATATTCTTATCTACTGAACTACGTAGCATAATGTTTCCGCAGGTAGAAAATTGAAGTAGACCAATGATACTAGAGAATATTAAGAGAGACCTTTTAGCAATGTTGTTAGACTATATGCGAGAGTCAATCAAAACATTCAAATTCAATGAGTGTGAGTTAAGACAGACATCTTTCTTTGTTTATGGTGCGACAAGTTATTGATATGGTTCATAATCAATGAGATTAATTTGAAATATTGAAATTCCGTTATTAAGTTTTGATGCATGCCTAGATAGGACATGTGTAAAAGTGAAATTTGGGTATATACATTTAACTGATAGTTTCAATTGTATTTTATGAATACTTCGGTAGAGTGAAATACCAAACAGTGATTGTTTGATCAAGGATAAACTTGGCAAAATAGTAACTTCCTCTTTCTGCATATTAGTGTCAAACCTGAAAGTTGAATGCAGTTATTGAAGATTTTCACAAATACTCAATTATTCAGTTCAGATATTTTTATAGAGACACCAGATGTGTGCTTTCGCAGCACCCACATCGAGCAAGATATTGTGTGTCTGGGTTTACACGAATTGTTTAATATCTGAAATGAATGGTTGGATAATTGAATAGCTATCTGAATTTTAAGTTTCCAAATATGAGATATTTCAATAATTGAATTCGAGTCTACGTATAGACATACTTATCATATGATGAAACATTATCATGTTGCAAAATGATGACAGCCTAAATCATACCTCGCTATTTTCTAATATCTAGATGCTGTTTTTTTTTTCTAACCAGAGAACGTGCTTAACATACTTTAGTCATTGTCATACCTAGTGATACGAACTGTTTGAGAATCACTCGTGTACAATATCAGAAAAATGAATATAAAAATTTGCCAACAGACTTTTCTTCATGTTTGAACATGTTCATGTCGTTGATCAAGTATTCGTAAATATGATATTCATCTTGTACAGACTTCAGTCATTTGTAACTGATCATGCAAAATGCCATGTAAGGTGCTAGATGAAATACCTAGAGTGTTCGCTAGTTGTTGAATTGTGATGCGACGATCTTCGAAGACTAGCTTTCAACAGCTTTAACAGTTGTTTTATTCGTCACAGGAATTCATCGATCCATCCCAGAATCATCATCGAGGTTTAGCTGTCCATCTTTAAAGCTACGAGCAAATTTGAATATCCTAACGCGTGATGAAGCATTGTGCTCGAACACTTACAAATATTGGAGGGTGACTAGAGATGAGAAGTTACCGTTATTAACCAGTTACCGAGTAACTGGTAACAGGAACACTTACCCGTTACTTTTTCCGGATAACTTCTCAAAAAGATGAATTATGACTTCCAATTGACAAAATACGAGCAATACATCAATTTTTCCGTTGGAAAGTTACCAAGTAATTTGTAACTTTATACAAGGATGTTTTGACTATATTCGATCGATTGAAAGACAATTCGTCTTTTTCAGAAATTGCGCGGAAAAATTAACGGGTAACTTTTCCAATTATCAGTTACCTGGTAACGTAACGGTAACTTCCCTCTCCTAATGGTGACTGACGTTCCAAAACAAGAAACTTCAATACTGAATGATAATTAAGTTTTTTATTTTGCATTATAATATTTAAGTAGACCTGAAAAAAATTCCTATTACAGTACATAACTATTTCATCTATTAAAGCTCATGATGTCAACGCATAAAGGACTATACGAACTACGAATAGACAACATTTCCAAAACAGTAGCGCTTTCTGTTGTTTTGAAACAAAATTAGTCTCGGAACTTTTTGAATGACTGTTGCAGATGTTTCTTTTCAGGCTCATATACAATTCATTGTCCATCATTCAATCAAGGGATATTCGATCCAAATGAACGCGTTCTTGATATATCAACAAATTATTCGTATGTTAAGAAACATTATAAAAACTTACAATCTTTTTATTTTTTTTCTTAACTAGTGAAAAACGTCGAGTAAAAAGTCATGGTCGTGTATATCGATTTTTTAATCGTAAAGCAAATTATTTCAAACATGCTAATAATTTATCAAAATTTGTTGATTATACATCAATAACATGTCGTTTTTCTATACCAATACGATTACCTGACATAATATATGTGAATGTTATCATATTTAATCGTGATAATAATAATTCAATAACAACAACATCGATTAAAAATATATCTCTTCAAGATATTCTTCAACTTATTGAGTATAATAAAAAATTTTATAACGAACCTATGTTACCAAAATACTCACCTGGAATTTTATCTCCTACGACAATGAATAATATGACAAATGATGATATAGTTATGATCAATGCAACATTAGATAATGATGATGAACCATTAGATCATAGTATTGCTGTACTTGACGAAAAACTTCTCTAATCATTTTATTACAACAGTGAGAAAGTCCTTTGTTTGTTTGTTTGTAACAGTGGTGAAATTAATTGCTCTTTTTTTCTTTAATATTATTAATATGCTTTTTATTATAATATATCTTATGCATGAAAACAATTATATCATAAAATTTTTAAGATAACCATATTCTGAGTGTCATTTATAAATATTGTTCAAAAATTAAAAAATCTGATGAAAATTCAGTATTTATTTCTTCAAATATTCTTTATGGAATCATGAAGGACAAAAAAACGGAAGGGGTTTTTAAAAACTATTTATTCATTTCGTATGAAATCTAATAAGAATTAGTATCAAAATGACGAATTACAAAAAAGAATATCACTGTAATAACTATATCAAGACATGTAGCAACAAGATACCATGCAATAAATGTTTTCAATGTTATACGATTTGTTCTTTTGTCAATACATGATGTCCATGCCCAGCCCATACAACAAGTTGCTTCGGCATCTGTCATATGAATAGTAGTTACTGTTGAACTTCCTGAATAATCAGTATTTCTAGAATTAAGTATTTTATATATGAAATAAATTGTTTGACTAAGAAAACAAATTCCAAATATAATCGGGCAAATGATCCAAACGAGTTGAACAGCCATACTGATGTTGATAAGTGAAGCAATAAACCAGAGTTCTCGTGAATATTTAATATAGTATACAACCTGAAAGATAATAGAAATAGAACGTCACTGTAACGATAAAAATAATATAATGACGCCATTTTGTTTTTTACTTGATTATTGATGATTCATATACATGATAAGATGAATTCAAATTTTAAAAACATCTAATACGAACTCCTACTCATTACGAAACCAAACAACAAAAGAAGTAAGTATGTATACTTTATTAATATATTGGTCATATCAAGCTTGACTTGAAATAATTATTAGTCATAATTGTTATAGATTATTTTATGTTTTATTGAAAACTATTTCAAGTTCTATGATAAATGATGTTGTTGAAGACATTTTGGATAGATATCTTGAAGGTGTATATTACACTTTCGTGCTAACGTGTTATTTTTTTATTTATAAATATAGAGAACCAATAAAATAAAAACAAAGATAAAAGAATGAGACTTTAAATTTTAACTCCGTAGTGCAGTATGAAGAATTTTAGTTTAAAAAAAATAGACTTTTTTTGCAGAAAAAATAAGAGTTGAGCGAGTTTCAAAAGTCGATAATAAAAAGAAGGTTTTGGCTATTATCAAAATCATGCTGATTGTGGAATCTACAGAATACTTTTCTCAAGTTTAATGAAGTTCGACAATGGCATCTGCAATTATCTAGGTCAAAAATGTGCCATCGAATTCTGTCGGACGTGTCTCAATCCAATAAATTCTAATGACTAAATCCGATAGGATTCTGATTACCAAATTCTGATGAAATCAGAAGAACGGACCGTATAAGACTCAGTTATTGTAATCCATTCAGTACCATCCGTTTCTGACACGTTAGTCATCGGATATTTTTATTGAAGGAGTTGTCGAATTTCTCAAAATTTTGTAAGAAACATAAATAATTGTAATTATTTTCTCGGGGTACAAAACAGAAACTATCTGAGTCAATTGTGTCTTTTGAAAAGTTTGTTTTGTCTAAAAATAAATTGAAATAACTTTTTATTTTCGTTCAAAGCAATTATTAAAATGAATAAAGCAGTGGTGTAAACAAGAGTGCTGAGTCCTATTCCCACTCCCTTCCCGTACAGATTAAAGCAACACTAGCGAAACTCTTTAAACGAGTCTCCTTCATTCAGATAGAGCTCGGAAACCTAAGTCCCCACCCGAGAGCTCGGTTATGTTAAGAATTTCCACTATCAAAACTTTGATTCAGTCACTAGAATAAATTTAAGAAAACATAACATCTGAGATGTCAAATATGGTTATTACATGTCCCCATCTCATCGAAATTGCATCACTTTTGACGATTTATCGCAATTTGAGCTAAAAGATTGACAATTGATCGACGATTTTTTAAAAAAGGAAACAAAATCATCGATAAATTGCTATTAATCGGGTTTTTTCCAGCAAACATCAAGAGTATATATTATTATATAAAATTAATATTGTTTTCTTCTATTCATATTATCTGATCATCTTAATGAATGGTAACTATTATTTCATAAAAGTGAATCTTTTTTTTTCTTTTGTTTAGGTCATTTGAACATCTGAATGAACGATAAATATTATTAAGTACAATTAAATTTTCTTTTATTGTATTTAAATCTATCTCAATAGTAAAACGATCACTGAGTATTACTTTATGAAAAAAAACTATATTATTTACTATGTATGGGAAGAAAGAAATCATATCTCTTGTTGCTCACGAGAAACATGTGTGAGCACGTTGGTAAGTGACGAAGATGCACATGTCAAGACCTTAGTGATAGTTGTAGAACCAATACTACCACCATGTTTGACCATTGTAATTATTATTTCAAAAAACCGCGATAAAATCACTCATTTGTACCCAACTTTGATGACATGATGGAAATATTTTTACATTGTGTTTTAATAACGATATATGGGATATCTTGTGTTTAGTTCTTAATAAAGGAGTAGTTAGAGTAAAAGCATGTTTTTTACCGTTGGTGTCATAGACCTAATGATTTATTATACACACAAAAACAATACTGAATAGAGAGCAGAACAACCGTAGATCATTGATTTGAATCCAATAAGATTTAGTCACCGAATTTCTTGATCTGGGCAGGTGGATTCTTGATGGAAATTTTCGAAAACGATAGTCTGAAGATATTTTCATTTTGACTCACACTTTTAATAAAACTAATCGACAGAAAAAGGTTTTTTTTCGATCTAAGCACGGCTGATATTCCTAGCATGTTCCACCCGTAAGTTATATGGCATCTGCTGAGAGCGTCAATTTCAGTCGGTTGACCAGTGATCACCCGGAAAAGCATCTAGACAGGGTTAAATTGCCATGCTAAGTCGAATGGTGATATTTGTTTTTAGGTTCTAACTGGTTTGATTTTGTTACCTCAATATTTCTGAACCTAAACGCAAATATCATTATTAGACTCAGCACAGTGAAGAAACTCTGTTCAGCTGCTTTTCCGGGTGATCACAAATCAAATGGCTGAAATTGGAGTTCTCAGGAAAAGCCTTATAACTCTCGAATGGAACATACTAGGAATGTAGTTCTTATATGGACAGCAAGAGAAGATCTTTTCCTATCTATTCATCCTATTGAAACTCTGAATCTAAAGGCATATACAGGTTCTCCAAAAAGTATCCGGACACCCCAATGTTTTTTCATATTTCTGGTTTCTTTTGAAATAGTTTACATTGTGAAAATTACTTTTATTTATTGAAATATTATGCCAACAGATAGAGCTCGCTTTGCTCATTCTAGTGATGTGCAAATAATATAATTTTGATGACAGAAAAGCGAGAACCTAGCATATTGGAAAATCGCACAATTTCATTAAAAACGTTCCCGCAATTCGAGATGACTATCAAAATTGCTGATTTTTTATAGAGAATCCAGTTTGAAGTAAGGAGTTTCGACTGGTAAGAGAAGAAAAATGTTGTCTTGTTTCTGCTTGATAACCCAAGAAATACGAAAAGACATGGGGGCGTCCAGATACTTTTTGGAGTGTCTGTAGTTTCAGAATATCACTTTTTGAAAATCTCCATACAAAAAGTTTCTATTAGCGCAGCCCCATTGGGGCAGAAATGTGGAACTCATATATGCTCTCTAGCCTCATTAAACTAATACAAAAAATGTAAAAATGAAAAATCTCTCTTAAACTATAATTTTTTTCCAGATAATCAATCACTGATGTAATAACTTCTGCAATTTCTGCATTTCAAACAATTTTTTTTTAATTTTTTTCTATGGATGTCCTATGTTTTGTTTTCATTGTTGCTATTCACTCATTATTTTTCATTTTTTTTAATTTGTTTCTCTTAATTTATCATTCTTGTTATTATTATCATTGATTTCATTGACAAATAAGTATGTATTACATATCTATGGTATCTACAGCAGTTCTTACACACTATAATATATATTAATCTGGTCACAAATAATAATATTCATTTTTTTTTCAAAATTATAACTTGATTAATTTTCCAAAAGAAAAAAACTCCGGAAAATCAAACACCTTTTGTTCTCGATTGCTAAGGTCTGTAATGGAGGGGAAGTCCGTAGCTAAGTGTCTGTAATAGAGAAGGGGGAGGGAGCCGCGAAAAATTAATCTTAAAACTTACACTCACTATTTTCTTCGAAAATATATGTGAATTCCACAAAACACACCTAGTGGGTCTGTTGCTGACCAATTAGATTTCGATATACTTCAATGACTCGAACGATCTCTCTTGCTTGGTGAAAACGGCAAGTCTTCATCTTGTTCTTATCGAATATTTTTGAAAACATGCCAGCTTATCATTGATTTTGAATCGGGCAATAGAACGATTCATCGCAGATATGCAGATGTGGCTGTTGGTGTGAGAGCAAATCTTTTGTGCACCCTCACCAACACTCTAACTCACACACCTATAAGCTCATTCTCATTAACACGTCTTGCTACACGCACTCACCCACACTCACAGTCAGATACTCACATCCAAACAACTGCGACGAATTGTCCTACAACGAGAAGTCCGGACATCATTTCATGAAAATTTTGACGATAAAATTATTCTGAGTGCCATTTATGAATATTGTTCAAAAATTTAGCATTTATTAGTTCAAATAATCTTGATGAAATAATCAAAGACAAAAAAAAAGAGAATTTAAAAAATTTTGTTTTTTTAAAATTAGCATGAAATTTAAACATAAGTACGCTGAAAATGGTAAAAAATAAGATAGAATAATACTGTAAGAATTATATCAAGACATATAGCAACAAGGTACCATACAATAAATGTTTTCAATGTTATACGATTTGTTCTTTTGTCAATACATGATGTCCATGCCCAGCCCATACAACAAGTTGCTTCACCATCTGTCATATGAATAGTGGTTACTGTTGAACTTCCTGAATAATCAGTATTTCTAGAATTAAGTATTTTATATATGAAATAAATTGTTTGACTAAGAAAACAAATTCCAAATATAATCGGGCAAATGATCACAACGAGTAGAACAGCCATGTTAATGTTGATAAGTGAAGCAATGAAACAAAGTCTTCTTGGATATTTAAAAGAGTATGCAATCTGCGAGATGGCAGAAATAAAACGTCATTGTAACGAAAAAAAAAGACATAATGACCCCATTTTGTCTCTTACCTGATTATTGTTGATTTATGTAAATGATAAGATGAATTCAAATTTAAAAAAACTCTAATACGAGCTTTCATTCATTACTGAGCAAATAACAAAAGGCGTAAGAATGAATATTTTATTGATACATTAGTCATATCAAGCTTGACTTAAAATAACTCTAGTCATAACTGCTTTAGATCATTTTATTTTATAGAATATTTTTCATTTTCTACTATAAATGATATTGTCGAAAACATTCTGAATGAATATCTTGAAAGTGTATCTTACGCTTTCTCGTTCCGGTTTCTTTATTCACAAATATAGAAAACGAGCAAAATAAAAACAAAGATAAAACAACCATACTTCAAACTTTTTCTCCATAGTGCTGTATGAAGAATTTTAGGTTAGAAAAAAGAGGAGACTTTTCTTCAGAAAAAATAAGAGTTCAGCGACTTTCCGAAGTCGATAAGAAACAGAAGGCTTTTATCATTATCAAATTAATGTGGATTGTGAAATCTACAAAATAATTTTTTCATGTTTTATAAACTTCAAAAATGACGTATACAGGTAGTCTAAAAAGTATTTGGATACCTATTAGATCTGTCTTTGTATTTCGTCTTCTGCGTAATAAGGGTGGAAATCTCATGATATCTTCTTAGACAGCGAACAAACACATTCTGGGTCACGCACGACATGAATATTTTTAAGTTGAAGAATCTATTTTGTTTTCTTTTGACCTTCAGAGTTTGACTCTAACTTTGAATAATCATCGAACTGTGTTGATAACACTTCGACACAGAATAGTACATCATCTGATCCCAACTTTCCGAATATATAGTTGTTGAAGAGGGCATGCGATATTCGCAACTATTTTCAAATAAACTATGTCATAGATAAAAACGAATAATAATGAAATCAGAAACTGAGTCAGATGAAATTAATACTAAAATTCTCAGTGATAACCAACGCTTTAGCCATAGCAATCCTTCAATTCTCTCTACATTATCATATTTATCTCTCAATACTGCTGAATTGACTCGGCAACATCAATAAGCTCTGAAGATCATAGATGTACGAATTCTACATCATATTCACATTGTACTTTTAAGGTATCAGTATTTCAGCTCTCACGTCACATTCATCAGTAGATATTGGTTATTTTTTACGCTCGCTTCTTAATCCTCGTCCAACATTATTTCGAATTGGTGTCATGTCACCACATGTAAACAATATAAAAATCAACTGATACTCTTTGCTCCAACTAAAGATCTGTTTTCACTATTCCTTACGCATATGTATCTATTCATCATTTAGCACATCTTTCCTACAAGTTATAACTTGACCTTGCTTATTAGTCGAACTATCGCTTCTTCTTTTAAATGTGCCATGTTATGTTGACGCTCACTACCGTTTAGAAGAAGTACAACAGCAGTTTTGTTCAATTAGATATGGACATTGTATTTGCATATCATCAAATACAAGCAGTTCCACTCTTGTCCGTATAGATTTTGAAATCACTCAAGAAAATGTGATCAATTTTTACAAGCCCAGTTCCTATCATTTGCAAATATGAGTCTTGCTTTTGAACAATATTTAGGTCCTTCTGGCATTCCTCAATGTAGAAAAATATTGTACATTTCATCATTTCGCCAATGATTGAACAAATACACATAAGATGAGTGGCAAGTGTGCAGCTCCTATGCTACCCAATGCAACTCATCAATATAGTTCTCTTCGATGTATTAATTGTTCAAAATGACTTAATTATTCTTTGGATATTAATCATGATGCCTTCAATCATCATGGCGTTGCGATGTTAAGTTTCGAAAAAATGTTCGAAGCAAAACTTGTCAAGCAAGACATTATTTCGAGTCACATTTACGCTTCAAAGGAATTACAGCACCGTTCACGCCAATTTCGTGAATGTTTACAACTAATTACTCCTATTTCATCTCCGCCAATACTGTCAACAACAGCATGTCAAGCTACATGAAACAGCCAATACCGCATTATTTTCATCAATATCTAGGTCGGTTACTATCTCTCAATTATCAATGTCCATATCGAATTTTATCCAAGTAACAATCCAACTATTGGAAGATCAATTGTCGAATCTTGCTAAATAAATGACTAATTTATTCATTTATGCAGGTACCAACTAATCAATTATTTATTTTTGCTTCTCCATTTGATAATTATTGATTTTAGTTCTATGAATACTGAATGTAATAAATATCAATCACTTACAAATTCATTTCAACACACTTGTCATATGTTATTCCACCAACAGCCTGCTCTAAGTCATTGACACTTCTCTTATACAACACATATGGTATTCACTCGCGTTATCGAGAAATACGAACACTATTCGATGACCTCCAGTTCATTATCATGACTCTTGTTTAAAATGCTAAAGTGGATGAAAAAGAATTGCCCAAGTTTACAACTAATTCTGTTAATTTGCTGTCTCCACGTTCGAATGCATGAGAAGTTGTCGTTACTTTAGTTCATCGAAATATTCATTGTTGTTTTGTTTTTTCCTTCTTGCAACTTTTTAGTTATTGCTATTTTTTTATCATCCTCGACTCTTCATGTATTATCTAAATACAGTTCTCCATCAGAGATTGTTGTACTTTCTCTTTTCGAAGAATATCGTATCACCAGTTTAATCATCGTCGGTGATTTCAATGCTTATTGACCTCGTTGGAGTTGTGTTCGTACTAATCATGACGGGTGATTGCAAAGGGGAAACAGCGGACTTTTGTACTTCAAGTTACTTTTCGGTACTTTCAAGTACTTTAAACTACTTTTCAAGTACTTTAGAGGAGCTTTCAAGTACTTTTCGCGTACTTGGAGCTACTTCAAGTAACTTTGACGTACTTAGAAGTACTTTGAGAAACTTGATCTACTACAAAACTTCTTAATATAACTACAAAAATACATTCTTTATATAGTACTTTATAATTGTTTTTGTTTTTCCCAACGTATTCAAGAGAAAATAGTAAAAATATTCGAATCAAAACAAGTGTTGCAATGATTCATTCAAAATAAAAATATAAAATAAGACACCGAAGATCACATGTCGACTGAATAAATTTCAACGACAATTTCCCAAGCAGACAAAAATTTTGAAAAATGCGTTTAAGCGCACAAACGGGAACCGCAATCGTGAGACATTCATGGTAATTATTAAAACGTTAGAAACGCCGTTCTTAGCCCGAAATTATTATTTTTAGAGCGTTTAAACAATGAAAACCTCGTATTTTTAGTGTTTAAACGCGCATTAATGCTGCAACTAAAAACTCGTTCATTTAAACGCTAAAAATACGAGGTTTTGATAGTTTAATCGTTGTGAAAGTAATAGTTTCACGCTAAGAACGGCGTTTCTGACGTTTTACTAATTACCATGAATGACTTGCAATCATGATTCCCGTTTATGCGTTTAAAAGCCTTTTGCGAAATTTTTGTCTGGTTGGGTTCTGTTTGTTGGATGATGCTCCTGTGACTGTGATGTCAAACGATGTTTACCAGTTTGCGTACTCTGCTTTAATAATACCTGAGAATCAATCTGAGATGTGTCTGGTATAGTACTTGGTGAAGCATCAACTTCATCAGCGGCACAAGCTCAATTTTTTAGGAAAGCGATAACCTTTGAAGCAATACTATAGTAAATTTCTTTCCCTCCCCCTATAAAAAGCAGTCCAAGTGTTAGAAAGCTATTTAAATACCAGATTTGTGGCAGACGTAGTATTTCAGGATTGAATAATTATGCATCTGATATTGACAACATATCAGAAGCTTTAAAGCAGTATTACGTTTTTTAGTAAGATTTATTCAAATCATATTGCAAACGACTTCGAGTTTTTATCAGCGTCTGTCTATCAATGATCCTTCAGTTTCCAACGTGATGCTAATTTAACATTTGTCAGACATTTTCACGTGTCTGTCTTTTTGAAGAACTCATAGACGTAAGAAGCGATTATAGATGTGATGAACTTAGCATCCAGATCAAGGGGAAAAATCTCATTCGGGCATTCCGAATGGCTAGGATTGGATCGGAATGGCAGGGAATGGATCGGAATGGCTGGGAATGGATCGGAATGGCTGGGAATGGATCGGAATGGCTGGGAATGGATCGGAATGGCTGGGAATGGATAGGAATGGATTGGAATGGCTGGGAATGGATTGGAATAGCTGGGAATGCCCGAATGAGTTTTTTCCCCCTTGGATGTGAATATAAGCCGCAAAACTTCGACTTAATACATACATTCACTATTTTCTTTGAAAATATATGTGAATTTCACAATATATGTTACAGCATTTACTCTTATAATTCGATCTCTATTTGTCTTTTGAGTCGATCGATGATCAGATCTACCATCGAATGGATTCAAAGTATATGAATCGATTATCGAAGATCTTATCATTGTTTCTTGTGATCATGCACGCTAGATATGCAGAACTATGACACAGAAAACAATGAGTTTCGTACGCATATTTCAATTGAAGCCGTGCTATATGTATATTTCGTGGTTTTTCAGTTGCTACCGAACTTTGGATATCTATATGAAATGTTTTCATTCAAAGTTCGCCGGTAAGCTCTCACAGATCGGATTCACTTGAACATTATTTAGTACCTAACACAATGTTTATGCAAGTTCATGTATTGATCTATTATAAATGAGATTGTGACTTTATTTGTTTTATTCATGCGAAACTTCTAATATTAATGCTTCGGTATTCAATCATAGGCGAGTTCACAACAGATGACTTACATATCTCATGTTGACTGAGTACCTCTAGAATTCTTCATACATATATATATATGGTATTTATGATTTGTAGTTTTTTCTTCTATTCAGAGACATACAATTTATTTCTTTTTTGTT